CCCGTTGGCCTTGGTTCATATACGTCTCTGCCAAATTATTCATGCTTCGTAGCGTGTCTGGATGATCTGGCCCTGATATCTTTTCACGATTCTCGCACACTTCCACGTCTAGCTTCAGCGCTGCCTCCCATCGACCGTTGAGATCATAAATTAAACCCACCAACCCCATGGTGGATAGAGTCCGTGTATCATCCCTTCCTAGTATCTCTATTCTGGTTTCCATTGCAAGAGTCGTAATTCTCTCAGCTTCATGCCCATTACCCATACTGAAGCAGTACCATCCCATCTGATGCAGCACCGTGGCCCAGTCTAGAATTGCTGCTTCCGTTTCTGGTCGTAGAATAGAGGCCAACCTAGCATGAGGCAGTAGCGTCTGCCACGTCACCCAATTCACGTATTCGCCGTTTGGAAGGCGGGTTGCAAGACGATTAATAAACTCTTGCTTCCATTGTTCGTAGCTACCAGAATCTTGGAGCCAGTTTCGTGTTGCTAATTGCACTAGCCGATGCATCTGGAAGTCTTGGGCGCGTTCGGAAGCATGCACGAATGAATATTCCCGCAATACTAAGACGTCATCGTCAAAGGCACTCGAGCATCCAATGCTTTCATCGTCCCCGGCCTTCCTTTGATCTCGTAGTAGAGACTCCGGTATTCCTTGACGGTCGAAAAAGCTCATGAGAGCTAGAAGATCTGCTGCCGACGGCCTGATTTGTCGGATATGATCAAAGGAGATCTGCCAAGTGATCAAAATCGAGTTTTTTGCGTCACCATCTCGCCGAAGATTACTTCCTTCATGCCGTAAGAGACCGGCTTTTCTTTGGTCGCTCTGCTTGAACTGTTCAAGATATCGTTGCGCGGACCACTGCGGTGCTCTCCGAGAAATGTAAGCTGCTGCTTGAACAATAGCCAACGGCATGCATTCAAGAGCTATTGCGAGTTGCGCAACGCAATCCTTGTCCTGCCGCGATCCCAATTTCGTCTCAATCAGTGCCTCCGCCTCTTTCTGACTCATTGGCTCGACTGGGAAGATGTCGGATGGTTCCACGAGTTGCAAAGCTGCACCCCTGTTACGGCTAGTAATGAGTATCGATCCGTTCTCGTAAACCGGGAGATAGTCCACAAGCCGCATTGTAGTCGACTGGCTAGTATCGCCACCATGACTATCCTGGAGAAGGCTCGGGGCGTCGAGGAGAAAGCTTGCATCATCGACATTGTCCAGGATCAGCCTCCATTTTCTGTTCTTCCCACCACGCAGCCAGTCACGCACGAGCTGGAAGATATTCTTGTTTGGATCGTCCCGCCCGGGTATCTTGACATGGTCGGCAATATCCCGGAAACTTTGTTCGTATCGCGTTGCGTTGCTTGCGTGGACCCAGAAAACCCAGGTATCCGATGATCGCTGCCGGGTTTCGTGTGCGTATTCAATGGCCAGTTGCGATTTCCTGCTACAAGTCAGCCTGTCGCTCTGCGGGTTATCTGCGGGCGCATAACTACCCTACGCCGCCCAGGCCGACGAGCGCGGTACGTGAGCCAGGTATGGCGCATGCTTGGTGGATACGATCGAGTATATCGCCTCGCGGGACAAAGTCTTTGTCGCGATTGAAGGGTATGATGGATGACGGATTGGGTGGGGTTTCGGGTCGCTCTGAATTAAGCCTCTCGTTAGCGTATGGGGTTGGTTTAGAGACCCATTACAGTGGGCGGGTAGGTACTAGGTATGTACTAGGCACCTAATGTAGGTACCTAGTAAAGGGCACTCTCAGTGGTACTTATGTACTTAGGCTAACATGTGTCATATTCGACTCATGGTCTTTGGATTTGCTGCGGTTAATAGAGGCACCACATGCAGGCTCTGATCGAAATGGCTCTTACCAATATGCTGGAATTTCCCTGAATCGTGGCACTGAGCTCCGCTTCCATACACCTGATTGAGCTTGGCTTCTACCGCCCCATTGTTGTCATTTGCCTGCGTTCCGCCAACGTGGTTGTTATTGGTGAAGCTTTGGGGGGTCAACTCCGAGTTGGCAACAGACGGCTTGATGCTGGATCTCTCCTCGAAAGCCTTGCGGAGTTCTTCAACCTGCTGCGATGTTGCATTGTCAAGCCCATTCTTGCTCACCAGAAGCTGCATATCAGTCATCAGCCCCAACATCAAGGTTTCGACCTTGTTCCCTTTCCCCAGCGTCCTGACAAGCTTGATGTATCGATCCTTACGTGAATCATTGTCGAGCGGGATGAGCTTGTCGAAAACCTTCTTAAGATCCGATGCTTTTCTCTGCGCCTGGACGAGGACACTCTTCACCTCGCTAGAAGAATTACTTCTGCCTTTGCCTCGAACATCTTTGTCCACGGACTCTAGAATCTTTTTGATGAGGGGCAGGCGAGCTGCAACTTCGCGAAAAGCCTCTGGCAGGCCGGTGGCATCCTTGGCGCCGTCGTAAAGCTGATTGATGCCATCGACAATTGCAATGACTGCTGATATGATCCCGAGAACCTCTGCGCCAGACATGTTGGCAACTTTCAGGTAGGTGTCCGTTTCAGGACTCGGCGAGAGTAGCGACATGTGCTTTCAAAGACTGATGATCACCCAATGATTTCAAGGCGGTACAATCATGGAAGGGTAAGTTGTAGATAGCATTACCCTCACTTGGAAGATGCTGCGAGATGCTGGTGATCGCGGGGGGCTTTGAATGTAAAGAGAGAGCCGACAAGAGCTTGACAAGACCACTGGAGGTGGGGGGACGCGCTGACCCCAGCTGACGCCCAACGTTCAACAGCCAAACATGTCAGTGTGGCTGTGAGGATACCGACCTTGACGCTCCAATGATATCGTGCGCATGGCATCCGCATATGCATTTATACGAGCCTTTGGTAGGATGGGACCTCTTCTCCACTAGCTATTAAATGTCCTGCGGATTGGACTAAAGGCCACGCTGAGTGTCCAGGCCGATACCAATCAGTACGGCACGGCCACCAAACTTGGCCCGCAAGCCCGAGATGATGCTGGCGCGCGCTCCGAAAAGTCCAGCCGGGAGGAGATCGGTCCGGGCCGAACGGCTCTTGCGGCGTGTGAGCTACAAGCTCGCGGACAAAGAACGAATAAACTAGCCATCTCGCCTCGAGGTACAGATGTAAGAACTTCGATAAGAAAGACCCCGATGGAAAGAACGGATTATGAATGCGTGCGACGAACATCGGCATGAATGCATGTTTATCATTCATCTCTCGTGGTCCATTTGGCCGTCCTTTTGTCTTTCTTAATTCCTGAGTCGGGAATGCGTTATGTTTGATAAACTGCCGGGGATGAGCTGACAGCCCTCAGTCGAGATCGGCCAGCAGCTTGTCCTGTTTCAAGTAACTGACTGCTGATCACTCGATCCTACCGGACATAACTTACACCCTCCGACCGAAGACACAAATCACCACGGTTCCAGTTGAGAATCGCACTTATAAATGCAACGATCATCGACGACTGTTCCCGGCCTATCTGTAGACTAAAAGCTCAATTTTGCACCATCCCCATTTTCAAGTGTAGATTCACTTTTAGTAATAAGTTCTTGAGCTGATATCCTATCATCACTCACTGACGCTACTCACCAATCAATCATGGCTGTTCCCGCTAATCGTGCCGTATGGCAGGATACGTTTGGCGTCCCAGGCGTGATTCGGGACTGTTCGCTACCTACGAGTGACGGTCTAGGTCATGACAAGGTGCTAATCAAAGTCCACGCCTGGGCGATCAATCCATGTGACCACATGTTACAGGATAGGAACATGGCACAGTATCCCGTCATTCTAGGTTGCGACGTCGCTGGTACTGTCGAGGCCGTGGCTCCCGGCTCTGCGGCCACTGCCAACTTCAGCATCGGCGATCGTGTCTTTGGCTTCAATTTCAACAATGGCTTTCAGGACTATGTGACCGTGGAGCACAAGTTGATCGCCAGAATCCCGAGCGGCATGGAGTATCGCGATGTCGTTGGTTTCGGCCTCTGCAGCGCTACTAGCGCCATGTTCCTTTTTGGAAAGAATTATCTACACCTTGATATTCCCCAGCTGGGCGCGGCGAAGAAGGAAAAGTCCGTCTTGATCTGGGGAGGAAGCTCATCTGTCGGCAGCAATGCTATCCAGTTGGCTGCGGCTGCAGGCTACAACATTATTTCCACCTGTTCAAAGAGGAATTTCGATTACGTCAAGGGTCTTGGAGCCGTCCAAGTTTTTGATTATAATGATCTCGGTGTTACTGAGAAAATCGCCGCAGAGCTTGACAAAGGTGAGTGTGCCGGTATTTTCATGGCGGCCGGATTGGAGGATGGGAACGTCGCGGCGATGAAAGTTGCGTCAGCAGTGAAACAAAAGGTATCGAACCACATTGCCCCTGGCCTTATACTGGCGGCGCTAACACCACTAGGTCAAATTTGCATCGTCCAATTTCATCGCCAACTTGGAGGATGTGCCTGAGGGAGTGGACATTAAACAACTGACACCGGAGACGATTGTGCCATTCCCCAAGTGTTGGTTTGAAACGACCAAGGCCACCTTTGAGGGATATCTACCCGAGGCTCTGGCCAAGGTAGTCTACAAGGTTGCTCCTCCACCACTCGTCGTGAACAGGAAGGGTCTAGAAGGGATCCAGGAAGCCATCGATATCCAACGAGCCATCTCCGAGAGGGGTCAAGAAGGAGTCAAGGAAGCTTTTGAACGGGCAGAGGATGGCTTTAAACAAGAGAGAACATCAGTCATCAAGGTGGTAGTCGAGCGACCTTAGGGCGATTTATGCATGAAAGTGCGCACTTTGTCCAGTCTCTTATCATGTAGCAGTATAATCAGACGAAAGATCTCCACCATCTATGCAGCAGAATATATAGTCATTTTGTGCGAGTCACTCAATCCTGGGATTTTGAATATTCTGAAAACATGCTTCTACTTCTTGATGTTGATTTCTGGTGCATAGCCACAAATCAGGTTGATATTTTTAGAAAGAGACCCTAGTAGTCTACTCTCATATGTCGTACTTTGGATTGAATCATTTGCGTAACGTCACCACCTTGAGAATAGCCTAGCTAACCAATGGAACGTATAAACCTGCCTGGTGTCCCGTACATGACATGGTCACGCCCCTCCCAGAGCTTCTGCTGCAGCCGATGTAGCCACAGCCCATATACCGCATCAAAACTCCCGTGCAGTAGCCATGAAGCGAGGGGGAAGGTTGTAAATGTTGGCCGCCGAGCTGAACATCCTCCATTCCAAGATCATGCCTTTCGGCGGTTGAAGGGGCCATTATCTGCCGCCCATCATTGGCCCCCAAGATACCTAGATAACCCGGCAGCCCGCCTGATTAACTTCGACGCATGTCTTGCAGCGGCTTGTTATCAGTATGTCCAATACTTTCAAAGACTTACCTGCCCTTGCAGTAGTTCCCACCGATGGGCAAGTACGTAGTCGAGAAGTGCATCTCTTCTGGAAAGGCGCTAGGGGTCCCTGGATTATGGTAGGTAACAAAGTACAAAGTTTGATACGTCATTATTCTCTATGTTGATAGGTTGTGATTACTTGCGTATCAATTCTGCAATACGCATAGATACATACCTAGTAGATATTTCTACGTCTGGTAAGAAATATTTGCATAAATGCAAGAGTTCGGTAATGAGTGGTTGGGGTATGCTGGAGATCCAATGATAAGCTCGTCGTAATCGTATTTGTGGTGGCACGTTAGCTCTGACGTAGAGCTGTATTATGTAGTGATGGTTTCGCTCTTTCATCCCCATCTTCAGGTCAAGATCTAGTCTTCTTTTATGGGAATTTCTCAAGCATTCCCATCGATTTATTGCATTATAGTGACATCCAGATAGCCGTACATTAGCCGCGCGGGGGGCTGAAGAAACCGTCAGCAAGGCAGAATCATTGCAGCCTTACGCCCGACCCTGCACACCCTCATGACCGGCTGCATGTTCTTGGATTCCTTATCTGTGTTGGCTGCTAAGCCCCCAATGGGTAGCAATTTGCCTCCTTTCTCTCCCATAGCGATCGCCCAAAACTCCAAAATTGTGCGTTGCGTTGGTCGACTGGTGATCATGGACCCCGCTACAATTGTCCAGATTATAGGGACCGCTTTGTCTCTGGGCGATGTCGTTTGCAAAAGCATAATAAAGCTCACATCTATAAAGGCCCGTTATCAGGCTGCTCCCTTGGTTCTGTCTACCATGATTGGTCAGCTTTACATTGTGCAGTCGGCCCTGGATCAATTGCAAGCCTTGAACAACCCAGAGTACAGCCGAAGTCTGCGGCATAATCAACTAGCCCGTCAAGTAGACAACTCTCTCGACAGCTTCAGCATCCTAATTCTCGCTCTTGGAGAGCAGCTGGAACGATTTCACTCTACGGAGTCCTCTGGCATGCCTGTCAAAGGTCGGTTGTCCTTCCTCTGGAGCGAGAAAGAGATGTCCGAATATTCTATTCTGCTCGACCGCCAAGTCAACGCCCTCAATCTTTTACTCCAAGCATTACAATGGTATGCTCCTGGTTTATGGACAAGGATATTTCCAAAGTCAACCCTGCTGACATGGATCAAGCGTATCATGGTCGGACCAAGACGACCTGATGTCTAGCCATGAGACCATCGAGGTATTACGTCTTGCTAAAGACTGCTCGTCATCAATCATTGGTCTCGAAGACGGCTCCTCGAGTTGCAGATCCGAGTCTACTGATATGATAGGCATGCGCTTCGATTTTGACAGGGTCATTCTTGGTACAAGCGTTTACCAGAAAGCCCAGAGGTCGCATCTTCGACAGACTATAGAGGTCAGCAGATTAGGACACCCAAATCAAACACCTGTTCTCACCACCTCTGACGAAGAAGCATCGACCTCGCGGGAATCAATATCCACAATTCAGGAAACGCCCATCTCACACAAGTCATCACTCTCGATAAATTCACTTGAGTCTCCCGACTCAGAGGCACGCCAAAAACCTACGCGTCGACATGCAATTCAGGCCACAAAGAACCACGCAAAGGTGCTGATATTGGGCACTTCAGAAAGTGGAAAATCGACGCTTTTGAAAGCTTTTGCCATCAATCAGGGACATTATGATGATGAATATTACAAAGATTCCAAAGAGATTATTTGGAGCAATGTTATTCAAAGTACCCGGGTGATTTTGGACGCAATGGAATCATTGGACCTCCCGCTTGATAATACAAGGCTCATTGATTACCATGTTCAAACGATCTTTCAGCAACCAGCTCAAGTAGATACCCTGCCACCTCAGAAAGTTTGCAAAGCAATCAAAATACTTTGGGAGGATGGAGGATTTCGCGATGCTTATAAGCGCAGGGCCGAATATCAATTATTGGACTGTGCAGAGCCTTTTGCCAAGGACGTGGAAAGATTGATGGCGCCAGAATACGTGCCGAGCAACCAGGATATAATATTTGCCAGAGTGAAAACAGCCGGGATCTGTGAGACGACCTTCAACTTCAAAAATCTCGACTATAGCTTCTACGATCCTGGAGGCGTACGATCTCAAAGAAAGAAGTGGGTACACGTCTTTGACATGGCCACGACGGTCATATTCACGGTGGATACAGCAAACTATTGCAAGTTGCTCTTTGAGAATGAGAGTGTGAACCGAATGCAAGAACAGCTCGACTTGTTTAGGAGCATTGTGAATAGTCGATGGTTTGTACACAACACTTTCATCATCGTATTCACCAAAACAGACCTCCTCGAAGAGCACTTCCGCATCCACCCTGTGGAATTCTATTTCACTGATTTCGTCCCTGCGGAAGGGAGCGATAATGAAAAGGTGGATTATTACCTGCAGTATCTTGAGAAGAGGTTCAAGGGCTTGATCGTGTCGGATCACCATCAGAAGCGGATTCGATGCATACGCGCACGGTTCGACGACATTGACTCCCACAATCCAGCCAGTGAGATACTGGAGACATTGGATGACTTGTTTTGGACTTACCATGCCACTCTTGACGGCTCCGGATCAATCTATGAACAGCTGGGAGATTCAAACGGCATTCAAAAAGTTCGGCAACGCATGCTCAGAATTCCCAACCGTTTTTTCAATCGAAATTGGAACTAGGACCGTTCAAGCTTGGATAGACACAAAACAAAGCATTCATCTCGCATCAATCAAAAAGAAGTTGTCGCACACCACAAGAGATAATTTCGCGGGCTTCAATGAACGATCAGCTCGGCCTCGCAACCTTTGTAGAATGAATCGACCACCTTACGGTAGGGGGCTCATGGGGATTATCCGTCGCTACCCAAATGAGCGTGCACCTTGTCAAAACTACTGGCGCAGAACATAGATCAATATATCAACAATCAGAAAAGCAGCACCCAAGGTTCTCCAAAGCAGATAAAGTATTCAGCTTCTTAGACAATACGTGATTGACCGCTACTGGAATGCTCCCAGGCTGAGGGGCGCAATGTCCTACAAGCATCGGGCAATGATCATTTCTTTTGAGAACTGCGCCTGCGCCACACAACATCGCCTGCACGGGCTGTATCAATCGCCACTTCAGCTTATGCCACCTCCTGTGCCGCACTCAGTACTGTATCTTTGTTATGATGTGAATCTTGCGATTGGTGCAAGCACTCTATATAGCTGCTACTGTGGTCTTGAACGGGTCATATCGTGTGTATTTGGTCTTATGCTTGAGTGATTGTTGCGCGAATGCACATACTGCGAGAGCCTTCACAAATTCATTGCGTCTAGATGTATTTCGCCACTCATATATCACCGAGGTAATACGGCGATTGTTGGCGTACTGTCAGCAGGCTACTTTGACCCATCAAGAAAATATCCGTGAGGCGTTCCGCTGTCAGCATCATTGTTTCACGGCATTGATTACCATGTTCAACTGATTGGATTGTCTTCCCTGAGATTCTCTATTGTTAGCTGAATGTCTTTGGTCGTGTTTCACAGAACACAAACGACCCATTGGGGGCCGAAACCTGCTCCGAATAACTCTTTTTCAACAAATGCACGGTTGACAAAATGTGTGTCAAGAGACCACTGCCAGCACCGAGATCTTTTGTTTGATCTTCACAGTCATCTCCTTGGGTTTTCTCAGTGCAGGTACAATCACAGTTCGACTATCTCGCTCACAGAGCTGCCGATATGGGACCAAATCAATATCCGCTTTTCGACAATGTTCGAGGGCATCCCAACGCTGAGACCATTAGTCTACCGGAAGGAGACGAGGGAGAAGACTTCCAGTTTGTGTCATCAGCTACAGCAACAAATCTACAAGAGGATACACAAATAGTGATGATGCAAAGCTCGGCATACCGAAATTCGGTTGGGGCACAGGCAAGGAGGCGAGGCTTACCAGCTACAGATGAATGCTCAGAGCCGAGTTCAGATCGGACTTCGTGTGAGAGCTCAATGGATCGACAACCAATGCAGACGACCAAACCTAATGACACACCACTCTTGGGAATCGACTACAAGGATTCGCCTCTGCCTCTAAAAGACTCTGTTGGCATCTATGGCTGCGCAGGCATTGCTGGTGGCTCCATCTTCATCCTCGCCGCTGTTGCTTTCCTCACGTTTCTTTGGTTCGGGCATGGAACAGAGCCCGAAGCTGCCGGTGCTGCTTGGCTCTGGCGCAAGATCGCCTTGGAGGACTGGATGACGCGCACCGTCACCATCTGCGCTCTAGCTCTTCGGGTCGCCGTCTCCATGCAATCAGGCATCTGCACGTCCATGACGGCGGCGCTGGTCTTGGAGAATGGCCGTGCCATAACCAGGAAGTCCCAAGTTGCGCACACATCAGTTCTTAGGGCTATTAACAATGGTCCACGAAAACTGATTCAAATACTTATTGGCTCGCACACTTTATCTGTACTGGCTTGCCTCGAGTTTTGGTTGATCTGCTTACTAGGCGGTTTGACACTTGTTTTGCAATTTTCTTCGACAGTGCTGCTGTCGGACGTGAGAGATTTCGCCATTGTGGGCGACGATAAGGTTGCAAACATTTCAATTCTTCAATACAACCCAAGCGGCGATTCTATTTGGGTTATCCCGCGTCGAAACGCCGCGTTACTGAACATCGAGCCTAGATACGGAGTCTTCGGAGAAGAGAGGTCTGAGAGGAACAGCACCCCGGAACTGAGTGGATTCAGCAACACAGATGTAGTGCAGCGTGGCTATATCCCAATTCCAGACATGAATGCCCGCAACCTAGTCCGCCATTACCGCGGAAATGCTCTGGTCTCGAGCTCCCGCATTGGCTGCGTCCCTGCGGACATCGACGCAACCTTTGAGAACGTGACCGCGGATATGGTCCCACCGATGGGTAGCCTCAAGGGAACTTTGAATTATGGAAAGGTCTTGAACAGAACCTTCCCTGGAACAGATGCAGCATCATTTTGCTCTGCTGCTGGATGCGAATCGACTGCGTTCGACTGTAGTATTGGAGCTGCAGATGAGAGTCAAGCAAGTGCCCTGTGCTTTGTTGGAGACACCACCACCTGGCCACATGGTACAAATCTACCTTGGAATAAGAACTCTTGGCTCTATCTGCTTTTCGCCACGAACATGACAGAACAGGACTTGTACGACTTGTCCTTGACGTATAATGTCACTGTCAACCAAACACGAAATGAGTGGGGGACCACTCGGTCCAAAAGCGGTCATGCTCTGGAAGTGTCCATGTGCCTTGCAAGCTTTGACGTCGACATGCGCTTTGTCGACATGTCAGCAAAGGGACCTCCCACGGAGCCAACGCTATCCTGGAACCCACTTCAACACGAGCACGACAGCTCCTTGGTTCTCCAGATGTTTGATACAGACAGCCCAAAAAGCCCAATGGAACGTGGGCTGCTCGACATGCAAATACTCGACGGCGCAGATGATTGGTTTCACGCCAATCATTCTCAGGAATCCAAGCCCTCGAAACTGCTATCCACGATAGTCAACATGCAGCTTTCTGACGAAAGTGTCAAGAACACAACCTACGTGACTTGCATATATTGCCAAATCTATGGTGACGCTGCAATGCATCCGGAGCTCCTACATATTGTCGAGGATACATTACAGCTTACAGGACGGCCAGCCAAAGCCCTCAGCAATCTCTATGGTGCCATGGGAACTACTCTGTACGACGTTTTACTCAATACTCTCAATGTCACCGAGGAGGCTCATGTGGCATCTGCGATTACGGTTCGTGTACCCGGTTACTGCAACACCAGAACTTGTTCTGGTTTCACATCTGTCGTGACAATGCTGGGCGTTCATCTAGCGACGGTCTGGTTGATTGCGACACTGTATGCAACACGAATCCGCCACTCCCGCATTTCAAACATCTGGCACACAGTCTCACAGCTCTTTGGTGACGAGTTGAACGACGCGTTGCTACTGGGAAATAACACAACGGACGAGACCGTCAATGAAAGATTCTTCCGCAAAGAGCAAGACGCATTGGTGAGAATAGGCCTCGCTGCACATGGTTCTGCTATAGAAGTTGTGTCTAGTCAGGCCGCGAGTCGAAAGCTTCCGAGGCATGGGAAACAATGAGATGGTGCCTTGCTTGTCGTTACTATTATATCTTAGTATTACCCAAGCTGATTCCAGCCAAGCCGGCTCCACAATAGAGTCGATGGCATGTCACTGTATGAGCACCTTGTATGAAATCAAAGCTTGGCCCGAGATCATGTACTAGAGATTGTGGCCTGGACCATCTAGTATTGTGCTTAGGGCATAGCACCGGAAATATACAAACGATTGTATCCTGACAACGATACGCATACGCATATAGGCAGAGCCTTGCATGACATTAAAGACGCACCAGAGCATTGAATGGAGGTAAGGGATTAGTTGTTTGACACAAGGGAGCCTTTTTCTTCAGATCAGCACTCCCCTGCCTCCCGTCAGGACCCGATCAATATTTCCACCATTCTGCTGGCCCCTGAGAGCCTTGAACTTCCTCCTGATCCACTCACCGCTCGTGACCTCGTCATCTGCGCGACTGGTCTCAGGCCGCGGAATGTGCGGACTATCCAAGACCCGCAGCACCGTGTCGTCCTCGGGCCGCATGAGATACGCCAGGCTGTAGCGCTCGGGCATGGGATGCCCGTGGACGGGGCCAACCCGGTGCAGGGCCGTCTTGAGCAGGCCATTGGTCATGATGGACAGGCAGTCGCCGATATTGACGACGGCGTGGCCGGGGCGCGGCGCCACGTACCGCCACGGCGACGGTCCCGTGGCATCGTCGTCGCCGTCGCGATTCGCGACGCCCGCCGGCAGGACCTGCAGGCCGGGCGTGGTGGAAAAGACAAAAGTCAAGCTGCCGAGATCCGTGTGCGGTGTCTGCGGTACGCAGCTGGCGTCCGGGTCGGCGTGGTACCTGAGCAGGCGCAGGATATCCGGAGAAGGGCGCGACAGGCCCTGGAAATCTTCGAGCCGCTGGCCCTCGGGTAGTGAGAGAGAGCTTGATAAGGAGCTCAGGATCACATGTGCGGCAGAGTTGATACCTTTGATCAGACTACGAAGATGCCCAATACTCTTTGCGATAACCGGAGGGTATGGGAACGGGTCTTCTGAAAGTTGTAGAAGCCCGTTGCGTGGGAGCTGAGGGAATCAATGAGCATTGTGATTTGGTTAAATACACTTTGTCATCAAAACTTACTACCCAGCTCTCGAACCCATCACTTTTTCCGCTCTTGTTTACAATGTTTCGGCCTTTGGGCTTGTAACCGTTGACCTTTAGGTCCGAGATCCGGTCAACATCAAACAGGGTCTTGATGTCGAGGGGATAGTCGAAGAGGTCTTTGGACAAGTTGAAAACAGATTCCACCTCGTCCAAGACTTTAGAGTGGCTAGACTGAGTAAAGTCCAAGTAGAAGAAGCCGTCTTCTATACATGCTTGAAGCAGGTTACTTTGTTCCGAGACTGAGCCAGACTGGAGCTTGTGTAAGGAAAGGGTGCGAAGCTGCCCAAGTTTCTCAGTGGGGAGACTCAACTCTTCTGGGATTGTAGAACTCGACACGTTGGCAGAGGCAGAACGTGTGAGGATGATGATGCAAACACACTCTCTCTCTTGCGGAAAGAGGCGATAGCACCCAATTTACAAGCATGGCACCGAGGTACAACAACTGCCGGCCCCATCAGGCATCAGGACCCACGCGATAACACGATGATTTGCCCAGGGGCAGAGCGCCAAGACCGCTCCTAGTCAAGTCACGGAATAAATCGATCGTTTGCGCCTTTAATGCATCAAGGGCGATAAGAATTGTTGCATTAGCATAATTATGAAGCGTCTGGTGTGAAGGCATAACTGGTTTGTTTCATGGAAGTTATACAAGAGGAAAAACCTTGGACCGAGTCTTGACTACTTTCAGTTCCATCTGAATATAAGTCAATTCTTATGGTTATTGCTATGAATAGCAATGGAAATAGCTCATTTCCTCGGACGTTCCAGGGCCAAGACAATCTCTCCAACCTTGTTCGTGATGATTACATCCAAATGGGAATCGGCTTGAACCTATACGGCAGAGTTAGTTGCGTTTTTAAATCTCCTTCTCTCGTTACTCTGAGATGGCTTTTATTTGAATCAGAAAATGTTGTTACCTTTGCACAGTCTGGCTCATCGTTGAGATCCCCCCAGGAAGCGCAGATCAAACCCGAGCTCTTTACCAAACCAATCAGCTCCGGAGCCGCTAGAAAGGGCTGCGAGCGTATCGCGACACCCTCTAGATTCCACTTTTTGGCGAATCGCACAGCCTCTTGAAATGATATCGCTCGTATATCTCGCGTTGGGATGTACCCTGATTCGGTAAGAAACAAGATTGGGTATAGCTTCTGTTTGGTTGACAACACAAAGCAGAGCTCCGGACTAAAAGAGGAGAAGAAGATTGGCCTATTCTTGCCATGCTTGAAAACAATATCAAGTATCGTGTCGAGGTAAAGATTCAGCTCCATGGCCAGTGTGTCCATGTCAAAGTCTCGAGCCTCGAAAAGCATTGGATATTCTGTGATATACTATCAGATTTTCATGGTCGCCTAACCTCTTTACAGTTTGACTTACTGAGTTCAATATTAAAACAAATTGATGAATCCATCTCCACAAGTAGTTGCTCAAGTTTCATAAACGGCCCATGAATGCATTCACCGCCTATATTCCCCTTGAAGCCAAAGTTCTGAAAGTTGAAAGTGGACATCAGTCTCGCTACTATGTCAATATTATCTGGGCGCGCCTTGCCCGCGGAATATGCACGAGGTCTTTGCATTGCATTGACTTCGGCTCTCTGTAGCAATGAGGATGCTGTTCCTGGAGGCCTGGCCGTACTGTCTTGCATTGTACTTGCTACCATCAACTAGAAATACAGGGTCAGCCCAAAGTCTCGAAGCTCGAGATATGACTCGCTGAAGTCAGCCTACCTGTTCATAGGTGATATTGTGCATTGGAGCATCTGTTCCAGTCTCGCTAACTAGAAAGTCATGATAAATCACCGGGATCAAGTCTCTTGTTACTTGCACATCTACTTTTTGTAAGAAACCACTGGGCTGCACAAGCAGTGTTTGTAGAAACACGACAACATACCAAACTAAAATAAAAAGATCATCAGAAAGGATATTAGTGTGGCATGGGACAAAAAGCTGTTACCTCGAGAATATCTGCTCCTGCATTTAGAGCTGCAAAAAACGACTGTTGATGGTCAGCGGGCAGTCTGGAAAGCATAGGGCTACTTCAAGGAAAGGAGTCACACACATCCATGGTGTTTTCTCCCAACTGCAGACGAGCCTGGTTCGAAGAGTTCTGGCCCAGACCTGGTTTCCATTAGCTCACTACGGAATCAAACATGGCATGCCAAGTTTGTAACTTACCGCGATGGCCTGCAACGAGTGGCGAGTCGTCCTGTTTAAGTATCATCTCTGTAGGTTTTGGGGGTGAGCCTTTGAATACGAATGCTTCTGCTATCACAAACGTAAAGGTCAATGTCCCAATGTATTCATTGCCGAAAGCGTCTGGTGAGATCAAAGAAACGGTATGGTCCCTCTCCAGACTTTCCAGAGATGGCCCTAATGCCTTGCGAGCATCGCCAAGGGACACTGACGCTGAACCAATGAGTTGACCCCTTTGCTCGTGGGTGTTGTGTCCCACCACGGAACAGTAGACTCTAAACATAAATTTCACGGCGTTGGGATCCTTCGCCATGAAATGCATGGGGTCATTTGAAAGATCTTGGAAAATCGGAAATGGGAAATGATATTTCTCGGCGGTGCTGCTGTCAATGGCGGATATCTCGAGGGTCAGACTGCTTTCGGGGATTTGCATGGGGGAGATAAGTCGGCGAAAGGGCTCGATCTGCAGAACCATCGACTCCTTTTCCATGTCGAAGTGACCAAGGTTGACGAAAATATGACTGCAATCTTGCTGATGCCGACCAAGCGCCACATTCTTGGAGGCTTGATTCTGTCTTTTTGGGCTGTGTGCGGGTAGTTTGATGCTTTCTTGATGGTTCGTTGGTCCCAAATGGGCACTCAAGCCTGCACTTTGACTTTGGAGCACGTCTACCAATGCGGGCGGACCTTTGAAAGCAGCATGGGCTACGGCTGTCCAGCCATCGTGATCGCGAACAGAGATGTCACAGCTTGGGTGCTGTATCAAGAGCTCTACCACATCTCCATGCTCATAGATTGAGGCTATCATTAGTGGTGTTCTGCCTCGTAGTCGCTGTCCAATGTTGATGTTATTGGAATGGGCCAAGAGCCGTCCAACGATGGATGCTTGGCCAAATTGGGACGCCAAGCATAGCAGCTCTGATATCGTTGAGCATGTTGTAAGAAGTTGGGGATTGTGGTCCATGAGGAATTCGGTGATGTGAGGACGCTGGGAGCGTATAGCGAGTAAAATCATATCATAGAATACTCCCTCGAGCTTGTTTGCACCCGGTGGTGACACCTGTCCACCAGATTGATGTGTCCAATTTAGGAAGCATTTGACAACTTGATCGTGTCCTTGTGTAATGGCCATTGAAAGTGGTGTTTCTCCCAGATTATCACTCAAGAGAAATACTGGGGGACTATCCGTTGCTTCTGGGACGTCGAGTGAGGATACATGCTCGAGTATCTCGTTGCAGGTAGCAGTCAGACCATAACAAGCTGCATAATGCAGTGCAACACGACCCAGTGAGTCTGGGCATAGTAACAAGTCTGGCCAATGGAGTGGTGGCAGAGTCTCAAGAATCAATCGAACACCCTGATGCGCGAGGTCTGCATCTTTCAGCCATGCAGCTTGAAGTATCTGAAGGTGTATCGGATTCTGGGAGCCGTAGTTACCAAGACCATGGTCAATGCTCAAGTGGGATACTAGAAGTGGGAGGCATTTTGAAGCTGAGCAGAGAATGCCGATTTTTGTTAGGATAAGAATGATTTTCTGATTGCTAGAATTGCTTTCTTTGATTGATTCATCTTGCAAGAACTCCTTCAATTGTTCGGGGGAGTCTTGCTGCAATGCCCTTGCTGCTTTCTCCAAGACCTGTGGGTTTTGACCGGCCTGGAGGTTCGCCAACAGTAAGGAGGAGGTATCGCGTTCATCAGAGGGTTTCTTCAAATGGAGAATCCGCAGTAAACTATTGATTCTCTGTAGATTCTGCACCCATTGAGCAGTTGCCTTTTGCAAGATGGTTCTCAGATGGTCTACCTCATCGAGTGTTTCTGCTGTTTTGCTGCTAATTCGTTCTGCAGCCACTTGTGTTGCACTGACGTAGCGACTCAAAAGTATGACCAACGAGGCAACCTCTGTTAGAGAAGCTGTTATATCATTCTTCTCATATGTTGGTATGGATTGAAGAGCCACGGTGTCCCATGAATCTAGTGTGAGGTTGTATTCATCTTCCAGGATGGACAATTGCTGCACTACGGCTTGAAACTTGTCCTGGAGAAAGGTCTCAATCATCCGAGTATCGCATGTTATCGCTCTCCTGAGCCCTACATTTGTGTTGTAAGTAAGGGGAGAGCTTGATAGTATCCTCATGTTGTTTGAGAGAAGACCTACCTGCGAATTTCTCTGCTTTGGCAAGAACTTTCCATTCGTCATAATTGACGTAGAAGCCCGCCCACTTGGGTACCTGATGCCAAGCAAAATTTCTTCCAAATTTCATGGTAATGAGAGCGTTCGAGCGTGTAGGGCTCGAAACAATGATCGGATTGCTCTTGACGTTCACCAGGTGCTGTACCTATGCATGCGACCAGATCCTTATCATTTCCGCCGGCCTGGCACGAAGAGGCGCAAACTTCAATACAGAAATGTGGGAAATCGCTTTCAAGTTCTGCAAAAGACGTGGACAGAAAATCTGTTGGGATGACTGAACTCTTAAAGTAATTTAATCGCTGACGTTACTCTGATAAGCCGAGAAATAAATACTTTTCTCGATGGACCAAAAAAAAGAATCAGAAGACGATAATGATAACGATCAAAGTCTGGCTGCGGATGAGCCCGTCGGGTTAGTGCAGCATGTGGAGACGAATATGAAGCCGCTTACCTGCAGAAACTATTAATACTAACAAGCAGATTGACTACGCGCAAACCAAAACAAATCATTTGCGACATACTGCCTTCATGCCCAAAGCACCTGTTTTCGCTGTGAGCCATCGGCAAAGATATAGAAATGTCACAACAAACAACCCATCACAAAGGTTGGCCCATTAGAGCAGACATCTATCTGCCCGCTCTGAGTGACACCAACCAGCAAGTCGATTGAGCGCCAGTCGCACTCCGGTTCTCGGCAAAGCAAATACTTCTTATTCACTATCCCTGACCTGCCGTTTTCTCCTATATTTCCTCAAATTCCACCCTGCTACCATACTCTACCGGTAATCAAACACCTTGTTGCATCAGTAGATAAGGAGTGTCTCCGCGATGGGCTACATAACCCATCCACGCAAGATTTGACTTGATGACAATGATGCAGGCCATTTGCTCTTTGCGCAAGACACTGCCTCATTTCCTTGACATTGTTTCATCGACACTGCAACATAGGAAGCTGGGTAGACAAGGACTGAAAGGTGCGCAGGACCAAAATCGAACGATGCTCACCTGCTTGAAATTCGATTCCGGTTATCTGAACCCGTCGAGTTGCAATGTCCGCCGGGTTCTTCGAGCTCTCTTGGCAAAAGCGCGATAACTTTTCATATGTCATAGCTGTCCGCGTTGCGGAGGAAATGACTAACATTGCAACAAATTCTCATGCCGTCGAGCAGTCCAAGTGAGACATCCGTTGAGTACAGGCTGTTGCTGCTACCGTTCTGATCACTCATACGCCAGCGCTCCGAGCAGCTAGCCGGGACAGAGGACTTTTGTGCCAAGTTCAATCAAAACATATGCACTGCCCTGCCAGAAGATCAAGTTGTGGTAATGGTGCCTGCCGATATTTGTTCCTCGACACAGAGAGCCTACACACGCGGTAGTCTGCTCAATCGAGTCCAACGGCAGCTTTTTGTGAGAGACAGTCATTCTTGTATGCGGCCTAAATGGATTGGGAAAAGGTGGTAGGATGATGTCCCAAACAATTGTGAGCAGCTTCACATCGTCGGTAACAAGGCCGATAGCAAGCAGGGCAGGGCAGCAGTCTAGAGTCCATGTCTGCATCGAGCCATCCCAACCGACCACATTGAAGGAATGGATAAGTGAGAAAATAAACCAATGAGTCAGATCGATCGTCAGTCGCTCCTAGTTATGGGTGTGCACATTATCGCGCCTCGATAGTCGATGTCCGTTCGGTCCGAGGTCCACATGCTACTAAGGCCGGTGCGCGGTATTTAGTATATACCCGACCCGGCGCCGATCTATGTGCCGGGGAGAAGCTATCGCGAATCCTCTGGGTCGAGTGGCAAAAGATAATTGAACGGACAAAAATAGATGCGCTGAGACCGGATGGAATTGAACCATGCCCGACTTGAACGGACGACCTTCTGGATGTCCCGATGAACTGGAATCAGATGCTCTACCACTGAGCTAATGGTCCGGCCTTTGTTGCGATATCAGATTCTGGGGTTGGACACGATACAATAAGGCTGATCCGCCGGTGCACACAAGTTGCTGGCCCACTGCCGTGTTCCGCAGTCCTTGCTTCCATCGACCTGAAATTAATTGTGATCTCCACGAGCCTGATTCTTAAGACTTCTTTGTAAGTCGGGCACTAATGAATTATTGTTATATGCCACCGAAAAGACTGGGGCAAACACATGCACTTTGTTCAAGAAATGCCCAGAGCTTGGCCAACTAGCACTCTCACGAGGAAAACCTAGTCCATAAGCTTGCGTTGCCTCAAAAACTTCTGTTATGTCAGCGGCTTACAGCAGAGCGCATGGGTATCATATCTCATTCAATGATGTTGCGATTTAAGGAGAGATACAACGATGATACCCTTGTGATTGGCCGCACTGCCAGAGGTTGCCGAAAAGGAGTATGCATACAGATGAATGGTATAGTTGAGTGCATGCATACAATACTGTCTCGCAGCATCTCAAATTGTTACCACTGGTGGCAATCAACTGTCATACTGAGCTGGCCCGCACAGTTGGGATCTTGGGCCGATGGAAGTGGTACGTAATCTGAGACGGGAGTACTACATGATTGGCTTGCTGTCAATTGATGGAGACAATATCACCACCGGTAAGCGGCAAAATTTTCAAAGTCTATGAGCTCGTGATGTCTTCAGTTTGGTTCGTAAGCGGTTGGGCAAACGTGGTCGGGGCGGAACCGGTTGGCGAAAGTGATGGAGCGGAAATTGCTGCCAAGAGGAGTTTCTTTTTTGGCGGTGCATACGAACCAGTACAAGATGGTTGGCATTGTTTTGGACGCGACGACAAGGTTAGCGCGAGCAGTTGGTTGGAGTCTTTCGTCCTGGACCCCTGGCGACCTGAGAATCCATCTTTATTGCGACGACTGTTCCACTTTCTGTCAAAAACTTTCTCCAATTGTGGGCAGATGCCAGACGGGTTATCTGAAAGCGGATGGCTCGTCGGACAGAACCGACCGATCATCGTTGATCCGAGGTAGGCAAGATGCGCGCTCCAACGTACGTGGTACGGTAGGTCGAGCGGTCAACCTACGCGCCCACTCGAGCCATGAGCTCGACAATCCGCTTGTCCCAGCGCGAATCACCTTATCCAGAAAATGGGAGACTGCTTGGAGAGAGCGAGCACATGGGCTGGCGATACAATAATGATATTTGGCACAATCTGCTGCCGTTTCATGTATGTAAGAGAGTGACGAGATGAGGTCGCACCAACTTAATAAGGTGAGATCAGGCAGTGCCAAGCTTTTCGGTCATTAAAGCCGGATCTACGGGATTGGAGCCCTCCACGTCTGGTGTGGTAGCTAGCTGTGGCTAGTGAGGTTCCAGTGGCAGGCGAAAGAGGATCATTGCACCGAGATTGACACGGTCAAATTTTTGAGATGTTCTCAGGTAGAGGTGGTACTGTAACTTAGTAAGGTAACCAGGTAGCGCCGTTGCGGCCCTCGGGGCAACAGACTTGACTTTAGTTGACTCAATTTCGCACAATGACCAGGATATATGGATCATAGCATGGGATCGAATGCTGGTCTGTCGCACTGATAGTCTTTTTTTTTTTTTCCCTCGCGCAACCCTGGCCGGTATTTGGACGGTGGAAGATGAGAGAAATAATGCTTGTGCTGTTAGGAGCAGAACTAATAACAAGCGAGCGAGCGACAACAAAAAGCGAGCAGTAGCACAAGCCCAAAGAACTCGCAGACGGGATACTCGGCATGTGTAACTCGTAGTACACCCTCCATGACCGACCACCGGGCGAGCGCTAGGTGTCTGGAGCTGGCTGCCCATGCTGTACGATGGACCGCGCATCGTATTCGCCGCCGTGCGTTCGTCATGTGAACTGTGGGATGGACCCCAGCTTACTATGTACAGAGTACTGCTGGTGTTGTGCATCTCGTCTCCGCAGTTACGAACGCTCCCTCGACCTCTTTGGGTGTGATGGCACATTCGGGTATATGGGCTTAGCTTCAAAGGCACCTCTAGCAAGCGTATGCCTGTCGAGCGAGGACGCCGTTGCTGGTGAATGATGTCGTTGATTTGTTAAGTAGTTGATAGTAGTGCGCATTGGCCGTTGGTTCGGGACGGTCAAGTGTCAGCAATTTTTCCTAAAGAGAAAAAGAAAGCATTGAAGCTCCAGCACCCCAAGCTTTTGCAAGCCAAGCTACCTGAAGAACTGGGACCGCGCCAGAAAAGAGTTGACGAAGCCGCGTGGACTGCTGAGGCACCGGCCTGTTCCTGGTGAGAATGGAGCGGGACTTGCTCGCTATTGGTGGGTGCCCAGGTGTCTTATCGAGAAGGACGCCACAATTATCGAGCTTCCAATGGAGCTAGAGCGAGACTAGTGAATTTCTAGCAATTGCAACAACTCCAGAGAAGATCCAGAGATCAACATGATTGGCCAATTGCAGCTCTGCCGACGACACCCAGCACTGGCCTTTGCTGGGCACTGCTGGGCGCTGCTGGGCGTGTTTCTCGTTGAACTGGGCCACCAGCCAGCCACTAGACGTGCGTGCCATTTGAAGTTAACTCTGGTGGGAGAGTCAGACAATTGATACATACCGCTCCTCAGCACGAGGGGGAGGTTGGAGACAGCCAAACCTTAGGTACTTTGCCTGATATGCTAGCAGGGGTCTCACAGGGTCTAGCAGGTCTAGCAAGAGGCTAGCAGGGTTGGGTAGAGCGGGAATGCACAGAGGTGCGTCGCATCCTGGCTTTTGGAGCAGCGGCGAGAGAGATCGTGAGAGGGAGCAAGAGAAAGAAGTTGAGCCTGGCAGTTGTTGTTGAACGGCGCGCGCGCGCCTGCTGCTTTCGTTCGCGCTTCTTCCCCATCCCATCCCCATGTAACTTGGACATGGATGGGATTTCGGCTAGATAAGTAGGTCAATTCGCTGGTACCTTGAATATGGATTGAATAGCGGAGGCAGGTCAAAGTAAATGCATGCATGTACTATGTATGTAGGTACCTTCAGGTGTCAGTGGCCCACCGGGTTTGTGGACAGTATCGTGGGCGGATGCCAAAGTAGTGAGTACATTCATGGGGGGAACGGACGTCGTTTCTTTCTCTCGCAGAATGTTTAACCTCGCACTTGCCCATGCTTCAAATTCGTGACTCTTCCCTCCCTCCCTCTTCCTCTCGTCGTTTCCAGTCGCACGTTCAGCACAGTAGCAGAAGAGAAAAAGTAGAAGAGCCAGAGGCTTCAATTTTCTCGAGTTTTTTTTTTCCCAGGTAAGTGAGAGCACAATCGCCAACAGAATTGACACTTTCCTCGTTGTGCATCGAACCGCATCGGGCTTGGAGGAAGCAATCAAGCTTGGTCTCTGTGTTTTGCAGTCGCTCGCTCTTCTCTTCCAATAATCGGTCTCTCCAACATTTACACAAACGAGCATCAACTTTTTTTTTTTGTTCTTCATTTGAGATCCCAGAAGCTAATCGAGTGTCGCGAATACTAGTCCGCGTGTCACTTTCAGCAGCAGAAGCATTATTTTCTTGCGACAATTGTATTCACACGCCATCTCTCTACCATAATTCCAATATCACATTTCCTCGTCAACATGTTCGTCACCAAGGTTGCCGTAGCTGCCCTGTCGGCATTGACTGTTGTCTCTGCTGGCAACTCGACCTTCTCGATCGATGTCGACTCTGTCACTCTTGCCACCAAGGGTATGTATCCCAATCTTGCCCTGTCCGGAGTGCTATATTGCCTGGACGTTGTAAGCAAATGGACCATTGCACGAACATGCTAACGCCACATCTTCCTTCCAGCTTCTTGGTGTACATCTGAGAAGAATGTCTGTGGTGAGATTTGCTCTACCAGCGAGAACAGCTGCGAGCCTGTAAGTCAATGCGCCAAACCTTGAACTCTTTCCGCAACATGTCTGGTTTTTCTAACATTAATGACAGTCCACTCTCGACTTCAGCTGCGTTTGCACCGACGGCACGGAACCCGACATGAACGAGTACCAGAACTCTGTGCCCTACGTAAGTTCCGCGTCCATTCCCTTCTTGGGCAAAGATCATCGATCATTCCCGGAATTCCCGCTGACCCATAATGTGATTATCTAGTACATTTGCGAGACAGCCTTTGCCAACTGTATCGCGGCCAACACTGACAGCGCCAGCGGTCAGAAGAACTGCACCACCACCATCGCCGATGAGTGTGGAACCAAGGTCGCCGGCAGCAGCAGTACGACTACTACCGCTGCCGCCAGCTCCTCCGGAACCGGAACTGCTGCTACCGCTGCCAGCTCTTCCGTCTCATCGTCCTCGACTTCCCAGGCCGGCGCCATGCCTACCGGTATTCAGCACCTCCCGAACGGTGCCATTGCTGTTGCCGCTGGTCTTCTCGCCATGGCTCTGTAAACAGAGACGCATTGTTGCATAAATGATGGAAGAATCGACGCCTGAAGAGCCCCACCCCCATGGTTGACCCAGAGGGTCCCATGTTCAGGTGTGCAACATTTTGTTGCACGGGTGACTCGTTTGTTTTCCTGCACCTTTCCTGGGCGCGGTCCACTATTGGCAGGATCGAGAGAGCCACGCAGTACATGAGGTACACCTAATGCACGAGGAGACGATACCCGACTTGACGATGAATTGGCATACGCGAAGTAGTAGAGATCAGCATGGTGTTTGGCATTTGTTTTATATCTTTTTTTCTCTTGTCATGGCGTCTTTTCCGTCCACGAGGGATAGATACTGTGGAACAGCCCCAACGGTAGTATTTTCCGGGTGTCTGCGCCTTGAATAATAGAGCTGTATCAAGTCCATTGCTTCCATTTGATTCGCTAACGATTGTGAAACTGATCCTTCGGGAATGCGCTGAACAACCAGTCGCTCGGATACGTTCCAAAGATGGGTGCCGATCTTGATCCTTTAGGTGTAACCTGATCGTATGACAACCGCTCCCACAAGCAAACACGTGCAGTTCTCGTCAAGGGTCCTCCTTTACATTGGCAAATGGCGCATCCCGTGCAAGTCGGGCGAAAGTTCATGATATAGGACAAGCGTTCAATCGTATGCCAGTGAGGTTGCCATTGCAGCCATTCTAATGAACGCAACTATGACACAATACTGCCAATAATCAGGAGATACGACATGGAATCTATATGAGATTGAGTTGAATGAAATTCTGGACCGAGGAATCGTGCGCAAAAATAAACAAATACTTGAGAGTTGAGAATAAGAAGAAAGCCCACCCTTGGACAAACCAATCACTCGCAAGGCGACTCGGTGTGTCCGCAGGAGTTGAACCAGTCCCCAAGAGATGATTAGAGCACTGAAGCAAGGTTTTGTGTGGTTTGGCTGTTGCAGTGCTCCAGTCGTATGAGGTTGACTTGTGGAAAATACATGAGATGAAAGAAGGGTATCAAGTAGTATGCGCCAGCTGGGCATGGGACAGTCGCCTTTTCAACGACCCGGGTCAAAAGACACACCCTGGCGTCATCCAAAAACTTGACGTGTACTGGAAAAGTCTAGTCAAAATCGGATGGACTTGCTTGCTCGTGGATCTCGTAGCCATTTCAAATCGGCCCCCGTCTTGCTGTGTTCCATGTTTGCTGCACTTTTGGCCGCCAGATGTATGTTGCCACGGTCAGCGAGACCGGGTGTTTACACCTTGTGCCTATCAAGTTGTACAATCGAAAAGGTTTGCTGCTCTTTGAGAAAATTTAGAGATTGCGAGGGGAAATGGCTGATGGGGAAGTTGGTGGGGGTTAAATCATGGCAAACTATACCAGGGCAAAACGGTTCTATAAGGACCGGGGCTTGTTTTTGTTCTATGCCTTTCTATATTGCATAGGAGCCAGCAACCACGAGTCTTTCCTGAAGAGTTAAGGTTTGCAGTTTCACCATTTATGTACACGGAATGTCGATGAACAAAGCTAACTTGTTCCAATGTCATCAGATCTCAAGAACTAATCTCATCCTTTTGAGGGGTGGGCAAGAGAGAGCCCGCATGGTGTGACCATATAACATGTATGGTGTTCAGGCGCATTATGAAACCAAAGATCTAATATCCATCGTGCCCTTGACCGTCGGAGGCTGGTCAGACATGAGAAGACCTGGTATAAGAACCTCTCTGCTTTCTCGATGTGATTGGACTTGGGAACTACGACATGGTTCACGGTAATCCGAAATGTATGTATATATATATGTATTCCTGGACCGAGCACTGTAAGCCTTTACATAGAACTTTATTGTACCAGTGTTCGGAATATTCCTCCAGTTGTGCAATTTGCCTATAAGAGCGAGCAGATATTAGTATCACTGCCTGTCATTCTTTCAGCCAAGACATTTGCAATGTTTCACGTGAAATTCAGAAAAGGTAATCTTGAATTTTGATAATTGTTTTTATTCGCAGTCAAATCTTTTTTTATATCTTATTACAACTAGTACAGGATGTAAAACCCATAGCCCAGATTCGTTTCCGTCACAGAAAAATGCAAAACAAACAAATGCAGGTATTGTCGTAGAGACGCCAGAAGCCATGCAAAGAACTCCCAAGTGGTTTCGCTAATGCAGAGAAACAAGTAGTACAGAAAGTGCTCTCCCTCTCTCAAGTCAATTCTATAGTGGTGGATTTGTTGAGTGTGTATGAGAGAAGAGTGATGTTGGTGATGGTCGTGAAGAGTGTGTTTATATCAAGACATGAGAGAGACAGAGAGAAGAGTCGAGAATAGAGGAGCTCACCCGCGCCCTTTAGTTGATGGCAATGCGGCGAGACTCGTGCTTCTTGGCCTTTTGGACCGTGACGGTCAGGATGCCATTGTCGAGTGAAGCCTTGACCGACTCATTGTCGATGCGGCTGGGGAAGTTGAAGGAGCGCGAAAAGGAGCCCACGTTGCGCTCGACCAGGTAGTACTTGTGCTTGGGGGAAGATTCTTGCTGCTTGGCTGGAGCTGAAGGCTTGGCCGTCTCGGCCACGGTCGTAGCGGGAGTGTCCTGGGGAGTGCTGCTGTTGGACTCGGTGGCAGCGCCGTCCTCCTCGGGGGCGTCCTCTACAGTGACGTGGTGCGAGGAGTGGTCATCAGCGTGCTCGGTGATGGCCTTGTCCGACTTGTTGTTGTCACCACCCTCGAGGAGGCCAGCGGGTGGGTTGCCCTCGGTGCGGGTGCGCTCAATCTTGCCCCTGATCTGGAGAGTCTGGGGGTCGGTGAATTCCATGTGGATGTCCTCCTTGTTGATGCCGGGCAGCTCGCCGTGCAGCTCGTAGGCCGTCTCAGTCTCGGTCATGTCGAACTTGGGAGTGAAGAAGCTGCCGAGACCGTTGCGTCCCCGACCATTGCTAGACTGGCCGCTGTAGCGGTCAAAGTCATCAATGAGGCGGAAGAGACCCTGGAAGTTGGGCTCGGGGACGTTGTAGTAGTGCTGAGGGCGGAAGAAGGAAGCCATTGTATGTGTTGGTATAATTGAGTTTGTGAGGTTTGAAAAAGGCGTGATGATTGTTGGAATTGAAGATTTAATGTAGAAGTCTTGAGAGATCTTCTGCAAATGTGATTGTGCGAATTGTAGAGAGTTGCTTTGTGAGTGTGTTGTTTGTTGTTTGCTTTGTTGTGTGTGTTCTGGTGAATGAAGAGAAGTCTTGAAACACGGTCCGAGATCTTTCATTTATACACAAAACTTGGTTGCTTTGCGCCTTCCCCCGGTTTCCAGAAACACTGAGAAATTACCCATTGTTGCCTATTGTCTTACGATTACAGAGTTATGGCGATGTTTCCAGCAGATTACAGAAGCGTATACTGGTTTCTAAGAACAGACACGATTATTCAGGACACTTCTGGAATAGTCGCGGCAGCTTACTCAAGTCCTTGGCGGAAGACCCTAGAAGTATCCAGAATAAGTGGGACAAGTCTGCTTAACCAAGACGATTGATTGGTCATGTAGCTCCACACATTCTTCAATATCATTGGACGGGACCATCTTTTCCGCTCATTCGCTGGATCCATCGCCTTTAGCACTGAAATATGATCATTTGAACCTGGAATACTCAAGAGATGGAAGCATCTCGTAGGGCTGCATCTTTCTTTGAGAGTCTCTTTCATGTGCGTGTGGTGGATTGCTAATGCATCCGTTGAATCCTATTCGTCTGGTCCCTTCAAGCCCCCGTTGGCCTCGTATCCTGTCAGACCCACAACAGTCAAACTCCTAGCACGAGCACATACGGTTAGCGAATCTCCAATGGAGATGGGCCCGGATGCTGTTGTTCAATTCTCTCCTCCTTGCTTGGACTTTATCCTACACAGCAAGACTTTTAGGATCACATGTTAGAGCTTTGCAACATAAAGAGCCTCCAGGTTGATATCTATCGACAAGGGACTAGTTGCATCGCATCATGGAAAAGATGATCATGAGCCTGGGCTCCCCATGTCTACTTGCGGCTATAAGGGGCAGCGGTGCGTACGGTGTATAACAGCCCTATTTCCGGAAGATATCTGGAGTATGCACATTTGCATTTTATGACAATTACATAAAAGAACCACGACTCTTAGAAATGTGAATATCTGTGTGCGAATGCAACCAAAGACGAGACAAGGGTGTGTTTGTTCTTTTGTGGCGTTTGTCAGGCGCGCGCATTCCGTATGAAAATCGAACCACATTGTCAACCAGTTTGGGCTGGTCTGAGAATTATAGTTTTTTGCTGCTCAAGATTAAAGTTGCGGCTCAAGTGCTGGAAGGATCAGAAGCCGATAATCAATAGTGTAGACACACGTCCTTGGCTGAAGTCGTGGGGTCGCCGACGCTTTCTTTTACAAAGAGGTCTTGATGCCCAAGACAGCCGCAAAGGTGGTGGCTTGGGCATCTTCGGGGTTTGCTCTTCTCAAGTATTATGGAAGACGGCGGCGGCAGGCAGTTAGTGCCGGGAATATTTGCTTTTTTTTTTTTTTTTTTTTTTTTTAATCCCACTTCATCTATGTCTTTGCACTAACGGCAAGCATGATTTTGTACGTTGTCAAAATGCTACGGCAATGGCAGGTAATAAGGAGGGCGGCTTCTGCTGCCGGCACTTGGGGGACCGAGTCTCGGCCATGCGGTACCATCACAAAGGCATGTACGCTCAGACATCGTAACCGGTGTCAAGGGATCCGCCCCCCTCTCCTTTTGTTCCAACCGCAGTGCATGGCATTAAGAAGGTAAAGCTAACTTGCATATTGGTGCAGGTAAAACTCGAGAGAGGATGCGAGGCAGTGAGCCGCCACGGCCTCTACTCTACCATGTGTAAGCGCTTACACAATCAACTCGCCTAATATATCAAGAGTGAACATGGCAAATGATTTGCCGTGGGCCGACTTTCTCACGGTGAACCTTGGGGATGTGATGGTTGATATCTGTTATCAGTGTGTAAAGCCTGAGCCATATAGGGTTCATAGAATGTGCAGAAAACCATGTGCTTAAAAACTGTGGCCTATAAACCTATAGAAAGGTATGTGCTGTGGCTGTTTAAAAGCTGTTCGATGTTTAATCCAAAACAGATTGCACTATCTATCTATATCTACCTGCACGCTATCCACATAAGACGACACCATTGATGGCATGACTAGTACAATATAATAAAGACTGGTAAACATACCTACCTAGATGCCAAGCAGTCAGAATCCTACTCCACCCTGTCGCGCATACATGAAATTCGGCAAAAAAAAAAAAAAATAGGGGTACCTCGGGGGTCCAACCAGGAAGAAGACTTTGGATGGACCGTCTAAAGGTCTGCTGCTGCTGCTGTTCCCGTCTTGGCGATTGATGTACATACAGATTAGAGTGTGCGCAGCCACTGATAGCATCGGCTACGTATAGAGTGTCGGGGTTGCGGCCCGTGACGTCATCACTTTTTTTCCCCCTTCAACTCCCCAGTGACCTTTAGGTGGGGTGAGACCCCCTTAGACAAAGCCCAAGCTTTGCCAAGTAGTCGCAAACGTACATTTTAACATGTAGAATAAAATGTCGGCCGTTTACCAACCGCACCCCAAAAGTGACGTGACCGTTTTTCATTTTGGTCGTCACATGATGGTTAGGCAGAGAAGAAGAGATGGGCCAAGAAAGTGCGGATGCGGTTACTGAATGGCTTGCATACAGTGTCTGCAATGACGTCGTGGCGGATGAGAAGAGATTTACAGAGTGATTGGCAAATATCGTACGACTCTCACGTTCCAAAACAGAAGTTATCATCATCAAAGTGGATACGCACAAGAAGGGAGCGATGCAGGATTTGGGCAGAAATCATGATGCAGCCGGTGAGTATCGCAGAATTGACCTCGCTAGTTTTCCAGTCACTTTCGTAATTACACAGTAGCCAAGGTACAGCCCACATCGGCGTCTCTCGCCTCTCCTTCCGACGCTGCCGCGATCGTCGACCAACACGCCCATTCCCGCCACCACCTGGGGCAATCATTAATGCTGACGATAAGTGTTGGTAGTGGTGATAATGGTGGTGATGATAATGATGATGATGATCGTCGAGATGCCTAACAATTGAGAGTGTGCCTATGCTCAGCATGGCAATCGAGACTGGCTCGAATTCGTCCAAGGTTGAAACCGCGCGTGAGAACCTTTCTGCATCCTCCGAGATGTTCAATAAGTCGCCGGGACATTTCATACGCATTACGCTGGATACGGCCCGGGCCCAGCCATAGGCGCCGGTGGGTAACCAGCAATCATGGGCAAGTTTTGGCGCGCTCCCATGGGAATTATCGACGCGGGGCTCTGCACGCGGTTGAACAGCCCAATCAACCGCCTGCCAACTGAAGGTTCCAGTTCAGTTCCATCGCGAGCAATCTTGACCTCTCTGTTTGAGTTCCAGGGGTTCCGCAGACCCCGAGTCCTGTAGAAGGGTAACCGCGTTGTAGAAAGCCACTCCAGCTTGAAAGGTTTGCCCCAGGCTTTACCCTGTTCGCCGTCAAGTCCGCTGCGTGCGCTCGCAGAATCTTCCGAATCTTCAGCCTCGTTCGTTTGTGTCTCGCTTTCGTCTCGCTCGACCTCCCAGAAGATTGTACCTCTCGCTGAGTCATCAATTATATTACCCCGAGGGCAATTGTCGGTGGCTTCGGTGGGGATCGCCTTGGGTAAATCTAGATCGTTTGTGGCTTGTGCTTTCGGGGCGAACTCGATAGCTGCGGCGGGATCGTTGTTTATTGGAGACAGCATCCTTGCATAGCCAAAGTATTCTCCAGACTTGTTGGCTGAAAACACGAGATAGACATTATCCGCAGCCTACAAACAATACCCGTTAGCAAATACAACAAATAGACCGCCAAAGCAGCGCGTATATACCTTGAATGCACTGTTCAATGATTCTTCATTGTGCGACTGTGTCGCCCAAACACCATTCCTTACGCTCAGATCAAGATCCTCCATAGTTAGACTTTTAAGAATAAAGAAGCGGTCTTTCTGTTGTTGGGCTTCACCATCAACAACAAGGGGCACTCTTGAAGATTGCTCCTCTGATGGCTTGGTGGGTACCGCAGCGGCTTCTGCTTCGGCAGGCGTAGATGGCGCATCGTGATTAACAGCCTCGGGAGGCACTGTCTGCACCTTGGGTGATGTCGCCGAGGGTCCTGTGGGAGCAGTCTGCCCAGATGCTCCTTCGACCGTACTCTTTCGAAGACGACTGACGAGTCGGACAGTTTGGAATTTCGAGTCGTGTAATTTGGATTGTGCTTGGATACAGCTTTGTTCATCCTTGAAGTTTGCAAAAGCACAGTTGCTCTTTGAGATGAGAAACAGAGATTCGAGACCGGGAGCTTCGTTACACACATGATGAACCAAGTTCATCAAATCAGTTTGCGGCGGCAAGTTACCGATCCATATGGCATGACCTAGTCAAAAAGTAAGTTTTATGTTGGGTCCAGTAGCAAGAGATGCATCAAGGTGGGTCATTCAGCATACCACTTTGTCGGGGCTTTCGGGGCGGACCGCGAACAACATTGGGACTCGCTCGGCGGTTATTGGTACCTGGGATATTCGGTCTCAGTATTTTGCTCTGAAAGTCCTGTCCTGCGCCTTTTCACCCCAACCTACCTTCTGGAATACCAAAAGCGCTGGCGGCAGTCTGATACGCTGGGGAATTTCCCCGATGATCATGGGGCATATAGTGACTTGGCATCATATTTCCGGGCATTGTCGCGTTGTGGTTCGGATACTGGCTAGGGTGAGGATAATAATATCCAGCAGGGATCGGCTGATGTGCTTGGTTCATCATCGGCTGGTTGGTGTAATAACCCATGGTGTGTTGTCTCGGAATTCCAGCTTGCTGTTGCGCCGGCGGAAGTTGAGCATTATAGTAACTCGGCATGGACGCCTGTTGTGCCATGTAATACTGCTGAGCAGCCATAGGATTCATGCCAGACTGTCCTGGATATTGAGCCACCGGTGGCATGGCGCCAGAGGACGAGCCGTTATGATTATATCGTGTCTGCCCGGCATTGTTCGAGTTGTTCCGGAATGTAGGATGTGGCAGCGCATTTGCCATTGCGCTCATGTTGTAGGAGCCCTGCGCGGGCCCTCTACCAGTGCCTTGTTGCTGTGTCATGTTGAACTGAGCAGAAAACGCATTCTGAGAAGGATCAATTTGTTGCTCGTATGGTGACTGAAAGCCTAGCGCGTTCTCGCCCGTTGCCTGAACAGTAGGCGCTTGACCTTCGCTAATAGTTGCTGACGCGTGGAAAGAATTATCATAGGCTTCTTGGCCTAAGTGAGCATTCGGTAAGCTCGAGGGCGGTGGTACATCTCCCATTTGGCCTGACCAGCAGCACAAGTTCTCGTTGGCGTGAGAGAGATGAAGTCCTGTAGCTTTGCTGAAGGTATGGTATAACTCCGAAGAATTAATGCGACGGAAACTGAGAGATATAAAATCGTGGATAGTGCTAACAATAGCCCTTGCAAGCGGTGTGGCGTAGAAAACCCCAATGGCTGAGCCTGGGCAAGGGTATGATAGGGCTTTCGATGGGGAACAGTATCGGCAACGATGAGTGCCGAAGCTTCTGTTTACAGGGTTGCGTGTAAGTGCTCCTCGTCTAAGTGATTCTCCAGGGTTCTGGATATGGCTGAATTACCAGATGGTATGGCAAGACGGACAGGCCCAGCCGCAACACTGTCCGAGGTATGTCTGATGGGAGGCCGCTGAGAGTATAGAGTATATGCAGGTTGTTCAGGAAGAATAGTATCTAGATAGGAAGTCCAAGGCGGGAGGCGAAAATACAGACCAGGAAGTCTAGTAAGAAGAAGACGAGGTGTGGCTAAATTTGGGGAGAACATGTGCAAGCCGACTATCATTTGCCTCTTATTGAAGCTAGCTACCCGAAGTGCTATGGGCTCTACATTAGGTATGAGATGACAAGAAGAATGACCCACGTCAGGACCATGTTTCCCCGAGCAGGGACTGGACAGGTACCGACGAGTCGCGACCCGGCGGATGCTGGTAGCTTGGGTAGGCCATAGGGCTCCATTTGTGGTCCTTGACCATGCCAGGGTAGCAAGAGTAAGGTAGGTAACCAGACGGTGACGATCTTGTGTAGAAAGAAGTTGGAGCCCCAGTCCCCCTGGGGGCCACGCAGGAGCCAATGAGAAGGACGGAGTTGAGAAAAGCCACAGTTTGTTAAGAGAAAGAAAGCCGGGGGTTGCCAATGTGGTAATTTGCGTTAGCACCTAACCCGCGTTGTCTTGCTGATTTTGCCACCCGGGCCCGGGTCGCACGACCGCACCAGCAGTAGCCAGGGAGGAGGACGAGCTGGCACTTGGAAGCTTTTTGACAGCCAAACACACCATAATACTACTGGCTTGCCCAGCCACACTTGTTCTGGGCCTGCTTAGGCTTGTGCCTTGCCGGGCGGCATGCTGGCATGCTTTTGCTGAATGGCAAAGCTAATTGCGCATCTTGAACCATGGCAATAATGGATGGATATCATTGATGCGCCCAGGTGTTAGTCGACAGCAAGAACAATGTTGCGCGCACCAAAATGGACAACCCCTCTAGCAAGCTGGCAAGTCAACAATTGTCCGTCCAGCAGAGAACCATGATTGATGGCGAGAATGATGACGATGGCTATACGTCAATCCAGGAACCTCCAGACAAAGAGAGAGACCGTAAGATGCGGTGCCGTAGAACGGGCGGTACTTCCCGACGGCTCGACTCTGAGTCCAGGGTCCAGGGGTCTCCTTCCAGGACCGGCCCAGCCAAAGCAATAGTCGAACGGGGCACCAAGAATCCATGGCCACATGAGAGTAGAGCGCGGCTACGATCAACTCTTTTTGGATATTACTGCGCGAGCCATGTGGGCTATCTAAGGTCTGTTTTTAGATGGTGATACCGGAAGCAGGGTCCAGGTAGTCGTCTTGTCGAAAATAGATGCGCGCGCTCGCTATGGTGCAACCTGGACTTTGCATATTGATGAAGAAAGACGAGGGTAGGAAAGCGAGTATGTAGAGCAAACCCAGTTTGTGCAGACAAAGCGTGAAAAGCAAGCAATAGTAGCAGCAGTAGTGGTTGTAGTCCACGGCAAGTTAGTCAGTCTATCATACCACTGGTCTCCGGAAGCCAGGTACCAAGTGGTACGTTGGTGAGACGCTCGCGGCGATTCATTAGGCGTGGGTATTGATAGTATACTCAATAGCATCCACACCCACGCAAGTTCGCCGAGCCTCCGTAATTGAGTGGAATGAAGTAAACGGATACATAGTGGTAGTAGTATAATCTTGTGTGTGGAGGAGTGGCCGGAAATGCTGCAATCAACAAAAAACGTCAGGGCGTTTTTATCCGCCAGTAGCTCACACGGCTCGTTAGGCGCGTCCTTAATGTCGTCAATGGCTCCATTGTGGGCGTGGTGGTGGTGGTGGTTTGTAATACTGGTAAGGACCCCACTTGGCCGACACTGGGCTTGTCCAGGTCAGTTTTTGGTGCTGGAACCCACTTCCACTCTCCGAAGGCTCGATGCGGGAATCAATGTCGCCGAGAACGAACTGCGTGGGGGACAGTAGAACGGACTGGAACTCGTCGTCGTCGTCGGTCAGGCCGGTATATCCTCAAAAGTGTCTCGTTCTGGCCAGACCAGATAGTACTGCGAGCGAAAAAGAATTTTCTCTGCTACTTCACCCACATCAAAAGTCTGCGACCCAGCAAAATCTCGCGCCAGCGGCAGCTGCTTGTGCTGAGAGACCATGCGTTCGTGTCCAAGACGGCAGAGATGACATCGTCGTTGGCCGAATTAGTTGAAGATCGACGTCATGAAAGATGGGGTTCACAAGGCCGTTCGGCGACATGGGAATCTGCAGAAATGCCATTGCTAAGAAAAAGGCTCTGGCGTCATATGTGGAGAAAATGCGCAGAGCTTTCCCCATTGCGAAAGACGCCATGTCTTGTGCCGATCTCCCCTGGTTTGTAGGGTAATTGTACGTAGTGTGGTACGAGTCGCAAGTCGGTTGTTGGTCGGTAACGTCGGTTCTATTTACTGAATGTATAAGAGCGTCAACTAGTGGGGGTCTTTTTTTTTTTTTTTTTTTTTTTTCCCCTCTAGGGCTTGAAGAAAATAATTTTCTTTTCTTCTCATACCTTTGAATTTTTGCCCCGATGCAAGCCAAGTCGTCCATTTGAGCAGAAATTTTCTCCTTTATTTTTAGTTGGCATATGGCAGGTACAGTAGGTACGGCAATCAATGCCTTCCTGGGAGAGATCTACTACCACTAAGACCCCTTCTCCAGTCCAGTTTCAGCCACATGCATGGTCCACACCAGCCACATTTTACCCAAAGCAATGCTACCTTTTGCTGCACATTGATTCGCTTATATGCCGCAACCTCGAATGCTACCGATATTAGATTATCATTTGTCTTTTTATAGAGCTCTTGTTCTTGTTTGTTGTACCATGAACATGTCACCAAATTGTGTTTGTTGTCACGGTTGTGATGGACTCAAATCAACGGTTATATGACGATTGTCGTGCCCGCAGGATCTGCTCCGCGAAAAACCCCGATCCTAGAAGATCGAGAACTTTAAATTCCAATCAAGATTTGCAAGCGCAAATTTTGACTTGCGGTACCCTACAACAGTTGCGACTGACTTTTGTTATTCCATTGTGCTGCTTTCTCACATAGTTCCCGCGAAAATTTAAAGGTGTGATTTTATAACACACGGGCTCGGCGTCCATTGCCGGGTTGCCATCATAGCATCATTTTGGCAGGCATAGCATACATCATTTATCATTTATTACCTTCGGCAAACGAAAGGGACGGGACGGGCTGCCTGGGCGGACAACCATAGTACCGGCGCTGCGATCGACATGCCTGCATTGCTCAGCCTCAACCATCCGCTGCAGCTGCCAATGCCGCTACCCATCGAACAGGAACGTACATGGGTAAAATTGTTCTATTTGCCACCCCATATCCCCAGGAAACCCTCGATGCTCCCTCCAGCTCCCACACTTATCACAGATTATCAGCGTATTCTGATCGTATTCTGCCCCTCAAATTTTTCATCTTGGCTGCCGATCAGCAGAGCCGCAGTCCCTTTACATGTTGTGACACCCGGACACCCCGAGTCACTCGGAAAGTAATCCACGGACTTGTCACCCATTTTCGGGTCTGTTCGCTTCCACACGCCGCCCCGTGATATCTATTCGTCTCGATGCGCACCGTAACGGCTGTCGCCAAATACCGAGATACTGATAGTCTCGACCCCAGGACCCTGAATGAGGACACTCTAAATGACCTGATATCTGCATCAGACCTTAGCCACTAGGATAGCGAAAACGAACAAGAAAAGACGTTTTGCCACCAAGCTACGTACTGCGTCTAGGTTGCCTCATGGGCAATTGTCCAATGAAAAGCTTCACGTAGCGTAGAGCTTAGGTGGTTAGCAAGCATCTTGCAATCAGGCACGAAAGACAATCCAACGGCATCGCTGGAATCATGCTTTCGGTTCCATTTTCCCTGCTATAGTCGTGTGCCGGCCATTGCATTCCGTGTGATATGGCATCTTCTCATTCCGTTTGCATACTCGCCTTCTTTTTCGCTTGGAAGCTCAAGTTGAAGTTAGTTCCCGGGGTCACTGTATAGTACAGTCACTACAGACTGAGCCTATAATAAATCATGACATTTGTGTCTAGTGTCTGGCCCCCGGGTTGGCCGTCCCGGGAAACGGGCTCACGATTTCACTCCAACAACCTTCCATTCCAACGGTTCTCATTCCTCCCAGGCCAAGCCTTGAATGGAAGCGTCCGAGATGTGTCTGCACTAGCGAGCTTCTATGGCACTATGCTGGCCTATCAAAGCAAATGGCCAGGGCGCCTAATTAGCCTGTCTGTGCTTGCTTGCCTGCCCTGCCCGCGGCATTCACGTCAAGACGTCAAGCCCACCAACCATTTTGCTGCATCAAGTGTCGCTTGCGTCGTGGACGATCGATCGCTGGATGAGACACAGGAGCACTGATGAGTGCAGGCCAACAGGCAGTCCTGCTCTCCCCACCGCTACCCAGATCTATCTATACACTACATTGGCACACCCCCAAAGTCATTCAAGGTGACATGGTCCGTGGGAGTCGGGAAATTTTCGTCCCCTCTTTGCAGTCTATGTCATCCAGTAATTAGAAGCTATGCTTCTTCGAGCTGCCATATCTGGCCTCTGATGGAGTCGGGAACTAGTCAAAAAGAAGGTGTACGAGCATCATCTCGATGACCTGCAGATACTGCCAAACCTTTAACTGCCACTGCGTCTTAAACATTGGCTTGGGCCCCCACCGACTCGGCAGCCTTTCATACTAAAGTCTTTACAATGGCACAGAACCAGCACAAACTTCTGCCCAACGATGTATGCACGAACGGCCGCCCAAAGTTGGTCCTTGATGGCCCAGAAGATCCAGAGACTGGCAATAATCACAACGTGACCGATGACAGCTCCCGTTCTATCCTAAACTAGTTGGCAATGGCTTTTATTCCACAGACGATACCTCCGACGAACATGGGGTAAGGTGGCTCTTTGTTTCGCATAATTGTTCATGTATATACTAGACCGTTGAACTAGTCTTTGACCGGTCATGGACGGAACGCAGTAGCACTCCTAGTCAGCCATCAGTCATCTGTCGGTCATTTCACCAGAGACGCACCCCAGTAATAAGTCCATACCTACTTAGTGCAAACGTGGCTTTTTTGGGGGTTGTTCTCGCCAGCAGGGGAAAGAAAACGGCCGAGCCGTTTGACCAAAAATTCGCATTGAATACCCCATTCTCCCTTGGACGCCAAAGCTGAATTTCCGATCTCGATGGCCATGATGCCATGGTCCGACCATCAACGGTTACACCCGTGGGCGGACCCCGTAACCATTTGTGGACCAAAATGACTCTCTCGTGAAATAATTACATTGATTACAATTCAAAAATAAACAAAAGACCAACCACGGGGGGTTGAATTTCACCGGGCCGAGGATTGCTTCTCGTCAACGCTTCCCCCCGTTTGCTTGCTATTCCCATGATTATCACCGCAGATCGCGAAGATCTCGCGTACTTTCCGAACGTGAAACATCCAGTATACTTGAGAGAAGGCATTTTTTGAATTAACTACAATGCGTCGTGCTTTTGTTCAGTCCCGCCACGTCGATCATGGTTATCTGGGGAGAGGTGTTGGCAGGTTCGAAGATTGGGAACCGGTCCATGTTCGGTCAAACAAGGAAATTCTTCAGCTGCCAAGTTTAGTATCAATTGCTCCCCCCAAAAGAAATTGCTGGCGGACGATCCTGCATGGCGTTACCAGCAAAGTGGTTATGGCGTCTGGTCTGGCTTCTTACTATCTTTAATCCTCCCGACATTGTGCTGCCAATGGCACAAGGATCTAACAATGTTTCTTTAGTTTTATCATGACGTTGCTGCCATGGAAGTTTTGCTCCGACGGCTGCCAAAAACTTTGCCTTTCTCAGCCCACGTTGCGTAAGCATAGTAGGTAATTAGATACTCAAGGGGGTGATTAAACACGCCTCGATGCTCTTATTTAAGATCGTCCCCAAACGCCATTCCACGGTGGCGTCAAGGAATCGTTGGCACAACTTGGGCGATATCTCCAAAGGTCGAGCGATAACCGACGCGCTTCCAATCGAGTTGTCTATAGTAGTGGTCTTTACTCTATGTCAGCAATCCTTTGGCTCGGCTCGCCGATGCTTAGCATTATGCTGGTACACAAGTAGGTGACGCTTGTTAATAGCGATTTTAGCAAGGTCTTTTCGGGATACAGAGAGACAACAAAATTGAATGATATCGCTTAATGAGAAATCCATACATGGTAGCGCTGATGTCTTTCTTCTCTCGTGCAAGTTCAAGTGTGGATTGTCAACGTTTCGCCTCTCTTGCGTCCCGCATTGCTACGAGTGTCTATGTCATGTTCATATTTAGCCTGGGTAGCTAAAGTCACTGAAGTTTGACTTTTGCCTCTAGGGTTTTGCCTCGTTGATTATCAGTCATGGATAGAATTTTTTTTTAGAAAAGGGTTAAAAAAAAACACCTATCCCCCTTACATAAGTGCGCGTGTATCGAACTTGCATGGTGGTATACGCAGGTGGCAAAACAAACGTCCCCCAATACAAGTTGCGTATGGGCCTGGCATGACACTACACACGGGCCCTTGATCACCTGGATGGACTCTTCGTCTTTTCGACTTGAGATTCAAATGGGTCGCTCTACTCTCTCAAATTGACTTGTATCACACCAATGCCTGTACCACCAGGGGGACGTCTACAGCCTACCTGACGAGCAAACGAGGTGTCTCCGAGGGCAACGAGACCGTCCTGCCCAACACTCTCTCACACCGGCAAGAATTAGTAGGTGAAGACTGGGCGCATGGCGCCAGAGGCGGCCCCGGGCAGGATTGTTCCTCCCAAGGCATGCCTTGCAACGTCTTGCTTGGTTCCCTCAAACTCCACTTGAAGACATGCCCTGCTACATGACTGGAAGCCGAGGCGCTTCGTGGGCGCCGCAGCCCAGTACCTGACACTCTGTTTGCAGGATTTGACTGAGATTCCAGGCCCCTTGTGCAATCTACCGTGCCTGCAAGCTACTCCAGCCGCTGCTGCCTTGTCCTAAAAGCTTCATCGGTTGTCATGCTTTCACTTAGCTGACAGCACATGAGACTTTTAGCGAGTTTGCCTGTAGACTTGGGCATTCGACGAAAGCCTTTCTTCATCTAGCTACTTGGATTCGGGAAATTTTGGCAAACACTGACATCTCATTGGTCGCGACGAATCCATTTCATTGCGCGTTTGTTACGGCCAAAAGGCATATGAGCGTATGCACCCACCCAAGCCACCATTGACCTGTCGATCTTACATATAAGTGTATATGGATATCAAGATGGCTTTCTTCAGCCATTAGGTGGGAATGTCGTGGGGTGCAATCCATTGCTTTGACTATTTGCAATCGGCCGGACATGAACCTGAAGTATCTAGTGAAGGAGGCAGCCGACCCCGAAATTGACAGCATGGTCAGCGTGGAGGGTCATCATGACGGTAGGCCGTGGCAAAACAGGACATAGGTTCAGATGAAAGGGAAACACGAAGAGAAAAAGAAAGAAATGAACTGAAGAAGTACCACTCAATCTCGATCCATACCCTAGAATCTGGCCATATCTTCTGGGCCCCTCAACTCAACCACGAAAGCAAGCTCTCCCGCGCCAGAGGTACCTGGGAACTGGTCCTTTTCGTCTTCTTTAATTTTCTTTCGGGGGGATTATTCTGAAAGTGCGCGTTTTGTGCCTTGGCCAAGACGTGCGCCTCCCATCCCCACAACCACTCTTACCGTCCAAAACGAAGTCGGCATTGAACTGAACCACCGAAGCCTCTAGGTCTTGCATGTTGAGCTTTGTGAAGACCATGGTTTGTGTTTGTAGATTTCTAGTATCAAGAAATGAATTGTTATATTGCTTCCAACCATTCGTGGTCGTAATGCTCATCATCTGGACGATTAATATGTCCCAATGAATACACCGGAGCTCCGTCCCATCTTCTTCGCCACCGTTCAAGGATACTATGGCCGTAGAAGACCGTCGCCTCTACGATGAGTACAGATTACACGAAATTTCATCCGTCTAGATTTATAACCAGGAAATCTTTCACTTGATCATAGTCATCAGCCTTGCCTTTACCTGTTCTTTTGGTGAACGCCGAATATGCATTCATTGAACGCCACCCGGGCGGTGTTGCGTCGAGACATTGAGGGGACCTGGCCACACTGTCGTTTCTCCCAGCTTGGGTTCCGTCATTTCTAATCATAAATTTGTCCCACTTCCTTTGTGGCAATAGATCAGAGGACCGCACTTTCTGAAGTATTGGCAAAAGTCCTTGAGGTCCTTGAATCGACGCTATTATAGCTAAGAGCAATTGAAGCTGGAGTTGAGGACGTTTCATCATGATATATATGGCTACTGGGCAATGCATTCGTGCCTTCTTTCAAACAGAAGCCGATACTAATGGCAGGCTTTATAGATCGGCTCGGCAATTGCACAGGAAAGCACTTATCAAAACGTAGCAAGTAGGGAGCCTCCAATGCTGGTAGTCTCATGAGTTGAAAGCCATCATTGCATTCTTTTCATGATTGCCAACCAGTACCATTACCAGAAGGATAAAACAAAACAAAACAAAGAGTAGCAGTAGTGAATCAGAGCATGACTAGGGACTTTCGTTGATAATCAGTATTTCGTCCACTGGACGCGGACAAACACCGAATGAACCTTGGGATATTTGACAAGTGTCGAAAACAAGTACTTCTTGGGTGGTTGGACATCTTGAAACATTTTTAAACAATCACAGTCGCTCTCACGATATAGCTGAGTAATCTTTGCTAGCGTGTGTGGATTCTAATTATTTGGTCTCCTCTTTTCCAGCGTATTCAGAGCCCGCCTCGACGACACAACTGCGATGCTGGCTGATTCGAGGCCCGGGGAAGCTATGATATGGGCGAGAGAATAGTCTTTTGCATGGCTTTCACCACAACATGCCTGGTTGGTGTGACACTGATTCACGCCTTGGTAATTAGCGACTTCTTAAATGTGAGGCGATGCATGAGAAACGTATGACTTCATTGGGCTTGTTCATCGCGCATCTCTATCGTCGGTATAAGTACAGTCCTGGGATATTCATCTGGCTTGCATTTCTTGCAGCCTAATCTCTCTTCAGCGGCAGGATCTTCTCCTCGATACCGTCTTTTGTAATAATGACCATTTGCAATCCATCACCAACCTCAATGTGTCTCTCCACGGCCGAGTCGAATGCATCCTTCACCAAAACCTCAACCTCCTCTCTCAGCAGGGGCTTCCTCTCGCGCTCCTGCAGGGCGTGGCCGACACCGCTTCCAGGAATGTACTGGTTCTTGAAGTTGACCTGGTTGTCGAGGAACGGCATGATCAAGCTTGCAGCAGCACCACCAGCTCTGCATTGCTCCCTCTCGTAGCTGCCAACCGGGTCGTAGCTGTAGACTGCACCCTGACCGTTCTCGTCCAGACCACCCAAGATTGCATAGACGTAGTAGGGGAAGAACCGGCGCTGGTACATGATGGTGCTGAGGCGCTTGGCGCAGGCTGCGACGGACATGGGCTTGTTGTGGCGGTATCGGTACATCTTGCAGATGGTGTCGAGGCGCTCCTGGAGTGCTTCGCCATCGGCTGCGAAACCGACCACGGATAGCAGGATGTTGGCGTCGTCTTGTGAGGAGTTGGAACCGCCAATCTTGTAGACCTTGGGTGCGAAACGTGTGAGAATGCTGTAGCCCGAGGTCATACGGGTGTCGCCCGCCATGATGGTGAAGTCTTTGCCGGCAATAGCGAGTGTTGAGCCACCGTTGTCAGAGTATCTGCATTGATAAGAAAGGTCAGTTTCTGGAAATAGCCAGGAGCTCGATGCTCGGTGCCGTGATGTTCTTACGGGTTGAAACGGTGTTCTCTGAAGCCATCGACGTGATCTTGAGCAGGTGCATCCGAGAACGAATAGCTAGGTCCGTTCAGGACCGGGTTCTGACTGAACATGGCCATGATGAAGGATCGAGATGCCGCTGGTCTATCGGAAATCAAAGGCGATCTGGACGACAATGAGGTGTACTATGCAGTTTCTGATGCGAATGTTGTCGTCGACGGTGAGTTGTGGGTGGTGATGATTGCAGAAGGCTGTTGGTTGGTGATGGAGCTGTTTGATGACTGAGGTCAGTTGTTGCTAGGTAGGTAGCTTCCCAATGACACTACGCGTACAGCTTGCAGCCTTGCAGCAGGCTGAAAGAGGAGCTCCTAGCTACACTAGAACAGCACTAACTTGGCTACTTAGGTAAGCCCCAGGCCTGTGTGAAAGGGAAAGAAACTGGGGCCAAGCTGACCAGGGGCTCTCCAGTGTTATGGGGTGTGGCCCGAGCTTTGGAAATGACTTACGGGCCCAGCTACAGTATGTAAACACTCGCGAGACACAGTCTAGGCGCCTCGGGATTGGCCAGTTGCGCTGTCATTTCCCTGGCGACAGGGGATACGGCAGTGGCATCGTCATTTCGATTTCCACTTCTTCTGGAAACGGGCGCGAAGTCGAAGAATTAGGGGACAAAGTCAACTTCAGAGCTCGACAACGTGGATTCTTATACGTTTGTCGACATTGAAAAAAACCACTACTGGAAGTTTCCATCAGCAGTAAAACCCGACTACAGCATTACCTTGGAAATTCGAATTCGCAAAGCAATTATTGCGACTGGTGAACCTGCACGCCGTGAGCAGGTCACTATACTCGCCAGTACGCCAACATGGCCCGCGACATTCGCCAACAGGCGCTGCAGAAAATCGCCGCCCTGTCTGCGTCGAGCGTCATCACTTCCTTCGACCGATCTGACCTCGACCGACTTTGTAAAGCGACGGGCCAAGGCAAAGTAAAGGAAAATGGCTCTGCTCGAGGACACTCGCTAGCTCGAGTACCCATGGTATGCGCACCGAAGATATCACATCTGGTCTCTTGTTACTGACATAGATCATGCACAGACAATCCGCGAATTTGAAGTCCTCATTGCTCTCTGCAAAGCTGCGCCGGCTGTGCAAAGTAGCCAGAGTGCCCAAAAGTTGACAAACCAACTGATCCCCTATCTGCTCGAGGCGCATTCGCAGACGTTTCAACCGTCGCCATTCTTTCGAACGATCGAGCCCTCCCCTATCGAAGCTCTGGCCACTCACCTGACCGCTGCATTGCTGTCATTGGGCTCCAGACATGACGCTCTACATGAGACCGTGTCTGACAACATTTGGGCTTTCCTCGCCGCCCTGAAAACGGCTGTTCAGAGTGTCGTGTCTTTGCAAGATGAGGACGGCGTCGACCAAAGTCTCGAGGAAGCTACCCGTACCGCGACTATTGCCATTGCACTTCTGGGCTTTTTGGATGCTGCTTCGGCGCAAGCAGACTTCTGGAGGACTGGCGGCCGACTGGCATTGATCCAGCGAGTGCGAAACCTCCTCACTGAACCTTTCTTGACTGCTGTCGAGGGCGCATTCTCTAGCATACGAAATGCGCACGCCTCGGACAGGAATTCCAAGGAGTGGAAGAGATACATGAGGCACTATGCCGCTCAGGGCCGCCCGCTCAGTGCAAACTTACTTCAGCGTAGCTTCATCTGGCTCTTGGGCTCATCCACGTCTCTGCTGATTGCAGATGCCAGGATTCTCAGAGCAACTCACATTCTCGATTTGCTCATGGCGAACAAAGATATGATCAATCCCGGGCCACACAGCAATGGTGATGCAGATTTCCGCTCCATTGAAATGTATGCCAACATTGCACGGGATGAGATCGATAGGCTAGAAGAGAGCGCCGACTTTATACAAATGGGCTCGGTATCGCAACAGAAAATCGCATTTGCTGTCAAAGCGGCAGCTATAGTTGGTTTCTTGAATTGCACCGTGCTCAATGAGGATGCCGCTGAGCCTGATGTTCTTATGGGCTGGTTGGAAGAAACTATGCTCGATCCCATTCAGATGCACGACGACGTGCTGGCATCCACTGTGCTTCGATCAATGGCTATATTGTGCAGGTTGAACCAGAGTTATGCACCAAAAGTCAGCCGACTTTTGCCTCGATTTATTGTGCAGAGTATCTTGCGCGGCGAAACGATAGAGGTAGCATCGAAATGCTTGGCTTTTGTTCTTCAATTGCTCTCGCACGATGCAGTGATCACCACCTTGTACACCCTTGGCAACGTGTTGAGCCCAACAACTGAGCAGGAAATACCAAATGGTACGAACACCGACTTTGCAGCTGACGGTATAGAAGCAAATGGCATATACCACGGACGGCAATCGACGGGCAGCTCGATATCTTTGGCACTACAAGGTGACGAGGACACATCCCTGGTCTATTCCAACATTGTTCAAGCCATCAGCAGCATTGCAAACATTTCAAATGATGAAAAGATTACAGCCTTGGCACAGGCCATGCTTCTACAGAAGTTGAACAAGGTCAACCACTCTGTAGATGCACAGATCATCACCGGTGCAGCCCATCTGTCACTTACAAGCGGACAATTGGAGTTCCGTTCCCTTCTCAGACTTTACTCTAGGATCTGCCACGCTGCATTGGTAGATAATAATGCCACTCTGCTCACTGCTGTAAGTACCGACGGAACTTAACAAAGCCACATACTAAACCCCGGTCTAGGTCACGAAAGCGCGCAACTACATTTCCGCAAACGTGAAACGGGGCTCACCCCTATTTGATATATACCTTGAATACATACTCGAGGAATTGATCTCCAAGGGAGATGTGCACGAGTCCAAGGGTGCCCGGGAGTCCGATCTAGAATTCGCGGCGGGCGAGATCTCCCAGCTGCTTCAGCCCCTTTCCATTCTCATGTCTACGAAGCAGTTTGCTGCCCATATCGAATCCGAGGACGACAGCCACGCAGCCATCCGTGATGCTTGGTTCAATATCGTGGTTCATGGATTCAACCCTTTGACTGACCGGGGCAAGAAGTACACCAATGAGCTCAGGATCATGGCAATACACTCGCCTCCGCTTGTGGCCGAACAGCGTGGTGAACAGAACGAAAGCGATATCGAGTTGAACACCGTTCTTCGCAGAGCAAACACGTCAGATAGAGAATCTAGGCAGAAGAAGCAACTGTCCGAGTTGATCCCAAGCAAAGCAAGCGAGATCAGGAGCCTGAGCTACAGAAAAGTTATCTTTCTCCAGGCAGCCTACTTGGTCGAGAGCTTGCGCGCTGATTCGGGCGATTGTACCAAGGTCCTGTCGTACTTCCTGGAACCCAGCATGCATAGAGCCGAGGTCAGCAGCGTCATGACCGGAATCGTCGATGTTGTTTTTCAGAAATACTTGTCCAAGACTTTGGCTGGAGAGCTACCGACGTTCTCTGCACAGTACGCTGCGTTGCAGTTGGCAGCTATATTGTGCAACTGTTGCCACCGTATTGCGAGAGTTCAACAGGCCGCCTTTGCCATAGCTGACAGATTCATAACAGAGATTTCCTCAGCCTTGTGCCAAAGGTCGTCTCTGTTTGCTCTGCTGGAACTGTTATCTCTAATGTGGACAAGCTGCCTGGAAGCCGAAACAGAAATGTACGAGCCACGATCAGTTTTCACTTCAGCGCGAGGCAACGTTACCATTGAGCTTTCTGATGACTACGGTTTCAGGAAACATACCCTTGATCGCTTGTACCAGAAAGCCAAGCTCTGGGTCGCATCCGTCATTAATCTGGCGCCTGCAGACGTGAAGGGTCTTTTGCAAACTTACCTTTCAGAGTTTGACGAAGAAAGTGCCTACGGACACATGTCTCTGGGTCGATCATTTGCAATGGAAATGGGAGCCTCCATCCCATTAACGGACCAAAGACTGACATCGCTGAACCCCGTTGGCTTGACAGCCATCAACACAGCATCCGACTTCATCGCCCAGTACACTACTCGCCAGGAATATCGATATGGAGAGGCTTTGCCTGACCATGGCATGGATCTCGTCAATTTCATGCCTCACGGGCGAAGAGCATCATTTATTAAGTCACCACTTAATGAGACTGCCAACGCCGTCAACGCGCTGGCTCATATCGAATCGCGACTTGCTACGAAGAAGTCCACTTCGGTTGATGACGTGCGTGAGATTTTGCGCCGAGCTGCTGCACTACTTTGTCGCTCCAACAAGGACGAGAGCGCCGTGACCCATTACTTGGTCAGCATCCCCTTTACAATGTTTACCAAGGAGTCCCTGAAGCTTGGAGTATCCCTCTGGCTTGGAGTGATGAATGAAAACCCTCGAATGGAACCGCGTTTGCTTGCCGAAATCGCTCAACAGTGGGAGTTTACTATTCAGAAGCGCCTGGGGCTTTTCAACCCTTCACTAATGTAAGGACTGCGATTTGGACTAAGACCTCGGAGTAACTAGCTAACCTATATGCAGGCACCCGGACCCTTTCTTTGTCAAGGAAGAATTCGCACCGAGCAACAACGAGGCCATGACCAAGCGTCGACAAGTCGTGCACAACCTCCTTGCTCCCCACACGCGTCTGGTACAATTCTTCAACAGTCACTTCAACTCCACCCGTCTAGGTAGTCCGGACACGCAGCGTATCTTCCTTCGACTATTGGACTTGACTCTCAATGCGATGAAGAGTTCCATTTCTCATCCTTTGGCCCGAGAACTTCGACTGCGCATCATGCTCTTCAGTCTCAGGGTGCTCAAAGTGAGCAATGGCTTGGGTAACCTTACGCATTGGCGCCTCAAGGACCAGATTCTTTCCGCTGGCCTCAGCTGGTTCAAGTTTGTTCCAAAATGGTCCTTTGGTAGCAACATCCTGCAAATTAAAACTGAAGTGCGCCTGATATCAGATGTGTCGACAGCATTGAAAGGAATCCCCACCATTGCAGCAAGCCCAGTGGGATCATACAAAGCTTTGCAGCAAAAAGAACAGCTCCTTCAGCTCCTGCTCGAAAGCGAACAGGCACGGTTGAATGTCTGGGTTCATCCTCTAGGCGATCATGGGGCACGGGCAGACATCATGACAAATCAGGGTCAAAAGGCACTGGAGGTAAGCTTCGAGATTTGTACGCTTGCCATTTCAAACAAAAGACTAACAAGAAGTAGTTGGCTCTGAACCCACTCATCCGAGTTGCCTGGGCAGAGAGCCCCTCTCTAGCGATTGAGCTCGTGAGTCGATTCTCAAATTTCCACAGCGTCCACAGTGAGGTCCGCTGGCTGCTGTTGAATTTTGCGTCCAAAGCTGTCAATGAACCCGAGGCGCTGCCAATCCTTCTTGGCAGTGAGCTGCCTACAGACGTACGCGATCAGCTCAAGGTAAGACTCTCATCGATCATATCCTCTGCCTCAGCAGAACATTGCTGACCTGAGCAGTATCTACTTTATTGGTCTCCCGTCAATCCTGTGACGGCTGTGACTTATTTCATGCCAACGTATCGCAACAACCCCTTCGTCCTGCAGTACGCCATGCGAGCCCTTGAAGATCATCCCGTGGATGTCACGTTCTTCTACGTTCCGCAGATTGTGCAGGGTCTGAGATACGACGCTCTGGGTTATGTAGAGCGTTACATCATTGAGACTGCACAATTCTCACAACTTTTTGCGCACCAAATTATCTGGAACATGAAGGCAAACTCCTACAAGGATGACGATGCACAGATAGTGAGTGCAATTCTCTGCTTGTGAATTAACATTGCTAACGATTTTACAGCCTGATGAAATCAAGCCTGCTCTTGACAAGGTGATGAACAGGATGGTTGACAGTTTCTCTCCCGAGGACCGAGCCTTTTACGAAAAAGAATTTAGTTTCTTTGACGAAGTCACCGGCATTTCCGGCAAGCTCAAGCCTTTGATCAAGCGACCCAAGCCCGAGAAGAAGCTCAAGATTGAGGAAGAGCTCCGCAAGATCAATGTTGAGGTTGGCGTCTACTTGCCAAGTAATCCTGATGGTGTTGTCATTGGTATCGACAGAAAGTCCGGCAAACCTTTGCAGTCTCATGCCAAAGCACCATTCATGGCTACATTCCGCATCAAGAAGCCCAAAACGGATTCACAGGATGAACAAGAGGCGGTCATCCAAGCTACCAGTGACACTGGCTATGTGCCTCCAGCAAACACGATTGAGACGTGGCAGTCGGCCATCTTCAAGGTCGGAGACGACTGTCGCCAGGACGTTCTCGCCCTCCAGATGATCGCTGCTTTCCGAGGCATTTTCCACAATGTCGGTCTCGACGTCTTCGTCTTCCCTTACCGTGTGACCGCCACGGCGCCTGGTTGTGGTGTCATTGATGTATTGCCCAACTCCATCTCTCGTGACATGCTCGGTCGTGAGGCAGTCAATGGCTTGTACGAGTACTTTGTCAGCAAGTACGGCAATGAGGACTCATTGAGGTTCCAGCAGGCCCGCAACAACTTTGTCAAGAGCATGGCTGCTTACAGCATCATCTCCTTCCTGCTGCAGTTCAAGGATCGACATAACGGCAACATCATGATTGACGATGCTGGGCATATTCTTCACATTGACTTTGGTTTCTGTTTTGATATTGCTCCTGGAGGTGTCAAATTCGAGCGTGCACCCTTCAAGCTTACGGGTGAGATGCTTGCTGTCATGGGTGGCAGCCCGGAACATCAGTCTTTCAAGTGGTTTGAAGAACTTTGCGTCAAGGCGTTCCTGGCTACCCGTCCGTACGCCGAGAAGTTGAGTCAGATTGTACTCATGATGATGGACAGTGGACTGCCCTGTTTCAAACCCGAGTCGGTCATGCATTTCAAGCAGCGTTTTGTGCTCGAGAAGAACGAGAGGGAGGCTGCGTTGTTTGTCCGGGATCTGGTCAAGAAGAGTGCAAACAACTACTCGACGGCAGTGTACGATCAGTTCCAACTGATGACCAACGGTATTCCCTACTAGTGGGAGACTCTTGTCAGCATGCCTGAGGGAAAAGCACGAGAGACTGGGATCGTCCTTGAGATACAAGATGCACATGATATGGGGCTGTCTAGCGATATAAATCTTACCCATCATTGTCTAAATTACCTACCTTCTAATTGCCTGAATACACATTACCGCTTGGTTTAGTAACTCCTTATATGTGCTCAATTGTGTTTTCAAGGTTCCACGCCAGCAAATTTTGTTGGGCTTGACTACGTTTATAGTCGCCAGCGAGGGAGCATCGACTGCGGGGATGCGCTCCAGCTTGGGATGTCTCGTCCGAAAAGTCACATGGCCCCGCAACCTATGTCGTAGATCAGGACAGGCTTGGGGCCCCCCTTTTTTCTTCTTTTCCCAGTCGCCAATCGTTTTTATTTTATGCTTAAATCGGTACCCTGCATGTATTCATAGGCTGACAAAAAAAAAAGCCCCGAAACAGTTGGGTTAGGGTAGTCGGTAAAGTCCGGGGGAGTGTGTACATGGTTCCAATTTCCCTGGTCCAGATGTCGAGATCGCGGAGCCTTGGAATGGGCGATGCCCTGTCTGCATCTTTGTCGCAAACCTTGAAGGGCCAGGGATACTTGACTGCGTGTCGGCGAACCCTGTCGAATCTGGTTGTGCGTCGTCAACATGAGGTAATATTCGGAGCCCCTTGCTTAAAGACACATCACACCAAGGCGGTCCATGTGCACGCTTTGCCATGAGTTGTTTGTAGTTGAGCATCGTGTAATTTGGAGGTGAGTCCTAAGCTTTCTAGAAGGACTTATTGGTGGTTAGAGATATATGATATTAGTGAAAGATAGTCATTTAATGCATGGATAAATTCCTAACAGGAGATTCAAATATAACCTGCAATTATTAAAAAGCTGTGTGGTCTGTATAACATTGCTCAAATGGTATGCTGGCAAATGATTCAATGTGTGATAGTGTGGGTTTCTTTCCATACCTCGCCAATCATGGACATGTCCAGCGCAGCAAGTTTTTTTTTTTAATTTTTTTTTTTCATTCTTTTTGCTATTAGCTATCTTCTACAAACATGATACGTTTTGGTAGTCTTGTATGAGCGATCGGATACAGGAATGTTGCGCACCTGGGTGTTATGTTGGTCATGATGGGTAGATCCCCATCGATCCCTTCCACCACAAGCTGACCATTGTCGACTGGAACGAATTAGTAGTAGTAGAGTAGCTTTATGCTGGTACCTGACTAGACTACGTTAGCGACAAAACCACAGATCCACAGCAGACCCTTAGACCGGACATGTTCCTCCGGGTGTCCATTCGCCTAGGGCTGTGAACTTGCCCGTTTCTGGACTATAAAACATCTCATATAATCCGACGTCTTCACCTCGGCATACTTGGCTCAGTATGCGCCATGATAGCGGTTCGGCACACGGAAGGATACCACAATATATGTAATCAGCGAAATGCCTCGATACAAAACGTACCCCCGGATGTTGATTATGGCCGTGATGAACTGGGCAGTTTGTTCTCAGTGTTGCCGAACGCCGAATGCGGGCCGACGTGCTGCGGGGTCTAACTGTCAATGTAGGTAACCTAAAGAGGTACGTACTGAGCATCATACGTACCACAGTAAGAACGAAGCGGAGTGGATCTTAACTCACAACTTCCATTCTCAAGCAGTTTGGGTTTGGGGAAGAAAGTTTCTCCTTCAAGAGACCCTTTTTTTTTTATTCTTCTCCGGGGGTGCAATTGTGGCTACGTCATACCTCAGGGTCTGCACTAGTCTGCGCATTGTGCCAAACGAACCATTTGCCACTCATGACACGTCAAACATGACAAGCTGCAAGGAAGATGGCAATTTTTCAAAAATCCCATGTTGGAGGCGAATGGAAAAGTCTGAAATATCGATCATCGAAAAAAAAAATTGATCATCAGTTGGCATGTGGTCAAAGGTTGTATTCGAGAAGGGCCAGTGACAGTCGTCGACAGAGCGGGGGAGAGCTCTAGACTAGAGTCTTTCACTCGCCACCTGCGGAGATCTGGCTCGGCTCGTCTTTTTTCACCAGGCACAGCGCCAGGAACTGAAGACACAGCCCTGACAGCTTTCGTTAGCACTTTTTAATACCAGTCATTCGTTCGGTCTCCATTAGAGCATTCGAACAGTATACCCTGCGCTTGGACAAGGGGGACAATGCAATCATCCCCTTGGAAGCGAATATGAATAATTAGTGTGTATTGTGTTGTTGTCTCAGATCAGGTTTTCTGTTTTATTCCCGGACTGCTCGCCACATTTGATTCGTGCTCTGATTTGCTGTACCCGGTCCCAAGGCTTGCTATCTGTATCTTATCGATGCCGGGGACCCGGTAGCATGCAGCCTGACAGGCCGATATATGGGACGGAAGCATACAGCCCACGCCGTCGGACATTGGAGTAGCCGGTACCTGGCAATAAGCTCGACTTTGTAAACCACCTAGGTTAGCTAGCTAGCAAGCAAGCCCTACTACCTACCTAGGGTCAACAACATTCAAAGACCCTGGAATAACCGCGAACCCAATCTGACGCGTCTGAAGGAGAGAAAGAGATGAGCCGAACTTTTCTACGCGAGTAGGTGGACAGGGCATGGTAGGTTAGCGGGCCTAGATTGGCTGTTGAACTTTCATGTATGGAGAGGGAGGGGGAGAGAGAGAGAGAGAGAGAGAGAGGTAAATGGTAGGTACAGCAGGTGTTGATCTTTGGTCCCCCGAGCTACCGACCGGAGGGGGAGGTCTTTGGCCGAGCACAGCCTTTTGCCCCCCTCCTCGGTTCCGCTATTTTTTATCATAAAATCAAGTTGAGCTACCTTGCCTACCTACATACCTGCATTTTGATACATACTGTACCTTCCCTACTTTGATGTACCTACAAACCCGTCAATCGATGGACAAGAAGTAAAAAGAACAAAATTCGCCCCACCGTTTCTACACTAAAACGATGGATTAAAACAAGTCGTGGTTCTGCTTGGAGTCCTCCCATCTGAGTCACCCTGTACCTTTTGCAGTCATTATGTACTAAATCTCTCTTCTTAACACGACCTACATACTACTGCGCCGGTGCCCAATTCAATAACCTAAGCTAGTATTGCTGTCTTGTGGCTTTGCTACTTATTCTTTGACCTAGAATTAGTTTACAAACGCAAAGCATAGACACAAGCTTATTAGGTAAACTGTTGCGCTCACCGACAACGACGCGAGCGCTGCTGTCGTCTTTCCACAGCCAAACTTGCGCCAGCTGCTTGGTTGGCCTTTACACCACAGCTCTCGAGCTACTTCGGTCGCGAGTTCCAGCAGTACACAAAACACACAATCGATCAATTCCTCCCTCCTGAATAGTTGGTGCTATTTACTTGCCAACCTCGACTACCCCACATTCTATTCTGGAACTCGATTACCCTCAACTCCAAGCCGCGACCCTGTTTGCGACTAGCAGCACATCACGACACACCTTGCCGACTGAAGGGCCGATAATCAGCACCTACGAGCTATGAACCTACAGAGTATCGAGTAACCTAATACATTCTTCCCATCGGAACCGATACCTTGTATTCTTCAAGTCACCAAAATCGCAACCTATCATCGCCATCCCACCAATCCATCGTTGTCGAGCTTGGGCATTATACAAGTAGCCTCCCCTACCTTGGTGGCTTACCATGGACCCTAACCCACCATCCGGACCACCGGCTCCAGAGGATCATGTCCCATTTCAATTCGATCAACCTGAGTCGACATCACAGCCAACTAATGATTGGGCCGATCTCTATGGGATGGACTTTTTCCACCCCAATGTGTCATTTTCAGGCCCGTATATGACACCTGCAGAAACCGAAATGCCCATCTTTGGAGACGGACCCTCGCTCAGCAATATAAAGGCTGAGCCAGACTTGGAACAAGACTCTACTCTTGTACGTGGGACCCAGCGTACTTTGCTACTTGATTGTTTTCTTACTTCCCCTTCATTCGTTTCCATTCACTTGACTCTTCTTTTCTTTTCCTCATTACCCTTGGCCCGATCAACCATATTAACTAATAAGGGGCATTTGCGCAAGCGTAAACAATCTCTAGAACCAGACTCGACGATAGAGCCCATACGGACACGAAGACGTACGATAGGTGATCCTGGAACTCCAATACCCTCGGAAGCAGCCACCCCTAGCATGAAACGAGCTGCCAGAGCGTGCAGCGACCCCTTAACCCCAGCCGAATCACTATCCGCAAGTTCAGCAGCAATACCGAATCGCCATCAGAGCCAGAACCAGAATCAAATCAGCAGGGAGAAGAATCGTGTAGCTGCGAGCAAATGCCGGAAAAAGAAGAAACAGGAAGAGAAGGCAATGGAGCAGAAAAAGAACGTGCTGGAGCGAGAACAGACAATGCTCAAAAGCACAGTAAAGCAATTGGAGGAAGAAGTCCTCGCCCTCAAGACCATGATTCTGCAGCACGGAACGTGCAACTTTCCACCGATACAAAACTACATCAACGCCGCCGCGTTGCGACTTCAGGCGTCGGCTCCAAATGGCTTTGCCACTGCAGTGTAAAAACTGCGGCAAAAGTCACTGGCTGGTTGGCATGGTCAGTTGGAATCATGATGTGGCCTTTATTTGGGCTGATTTGTCTTTAATTGTCCGTATGCTTCTATCATGCGCAGTGCTAAGCGGACCGGGTCTGGGGTTGGCGTTTAGGGGGAGTTTGCAAGTCCTGGAAGGCCCATTTCTGTTTCTGAGATACCCCCAAATTTATCACTTGTCCATGTCGGACAACCGGCGCAAAATCCAGAAAGATTTGACAAAGGAGGGGAAACATAAACTTTGCCAAAAGAAGTCGTCAAGCACAAACATTTGTGCCCTTTTAATGAGTAATGAATGACGAGAGAAAAGCACTCAGGAGTGCTCAAAGAATCAAGACCAAAAATCAAGGGTGGACCAATTTATTTCTAGCAGGTAGGGACAGTGATGTGGCTGAATTTCGGAAAATTCGGACCAAAAATGCCTTTGCAAAATCTAGAAATGCGAGAGAAAATCGAGATAGCATAAGCAAAGGTAATTTTATCCAAGCATTCAGAGTAAAAGTATGACAGTACAAATATCATGAGAGATGATATCAATTGGGATAGGGAAATTCTGATGGATGATGACCGCCAACAAGTGCAAATGGTTGGGCTGCTCGGGACAGGATGGATTCCTCGGCGCCCAGAAACACCGCAACGAGACAAAGATTTGCAGATAGGGCAATCTTGAAGCAAGCCAGCTGTAAAAACCTGACCGAGAAGTGTGCTTTCCTCACAAATCACAAACAGACGGCCCTGTACCAGCAAAAGCGCAACGCAACGCGCTATTGGTGATGGCGTCCAACGGCCCCAAGTGGCGGACAACCTGAAATGACACGAAGCCTGCTCTTACCAAGGTCCACCAAGCCAGGTAGCCCTGCTTTGCCCTATTCGCAAGTTTTGAGGAAGCTATAGCGGCACGTTATGATGAGGGAAGGGTAGACTGACATGAGACAGTTCTCTTAGTTATAGGAAGGCCAAGTCGGTCAGAATATAGATAGTCTCTATCAAATCCATTCTCATCCAAGTAGAATATTGATGGTATCAAATGATTTTCCGGCAAGCCTACGGCGCCATTGTGATGCCGAGGAGCCCGGGCTTGACGCCCGTTTGTATGCTTCCGGGGAACATTTCCAAGCCTTATCAAGAAACAAAACAGGCTTGACAGGTGCAGGTGGACAGCGAAAATCCCAGCACAATTGCCCCGATCCGGTTGTCCCCCCTCGAGAGGGCAACGATCGCCATACATTCTTTACACCGATAAAGAGGGGGAATGTCCTTGCGCCAAATAGTCCCTTGCTTCTCTCTACATAAAAATTTCATCCTCTCAAGAAAGTGGGAAAGAAACCCCTCATCAACGTCATTCTGGAGTCGCTGTTGAAACGAAAGGGACTCTCTTTGCATCTCAAGGAACACACCAACGAGCTTTTTGAAATCCTTATTCAAAGACCTGGTGGGTTATTATATCATGGATCGATCGCATGGGGAGCGATTTGGCACGACTGTGGCGAGGAAGAAGACAGACTGAACAGCGTGGACTAGATACTTTCCGGTGTCCTGCTTGCCATGATTCTTCAAAGTTGACGCAAAAAAGTACATGTACCGACTTTTGGGGAATAACGCAAAGCATTGGATGATTGGTGCTAGCTATAAAGTGCCCAAAGCCCTCCAACATCCCTGAATAGCTGAAATCGTGGCGGCACTGATGGCTAGGTATCCCAGAAGTGTGAGTTATATATACTCTGTATACAACGCCTTTATCTAGTGAATAATTGTTCTGCTACCATTGAAATGTAAGGAAGACAAACAAAGAATTGCGAAACTCACATCTCCGTCGTTGATTGCACAAATACTCAATGCCTCGTCGAAAAGCACAGCCACGATTGATGATGAATCGCCCTTGATCACGTTCTACAGATTAGTATTTTTGTTACCCTGTTGCAATAATCTCTCCGAGAGCAAAGCCACATAGAAACGTGGGATGTGTCACGGTGTACGAGCTGAGGATTCGTGGGGGGAAAAGGGCTGGCTCGCCAATCCCGTGACTACCCGCCAGGGGGGCCAGCCAGCCCTATCTATGTATCACATTCTCTTATTAAGCGATCGTTTGTAAAAAAGGACCGATGTCAATTACCGAGACTCGTGCTTATACCCGACTCGCGTATGGGCGGCAAAACAACCAGTACGGATCCCGGAAAGCCTCGAGCCCTATCTAGTGAGGAAGACACCTCCTTTCCGTTAACCAGAGAAATAATGGACTAAAGGGTCGAAGCGCAGCCGCGCGTCAGTGCGATCCCTTAGTAGGCAACCAGATCGTAGAGCATTGGATCTCGAGAGAGTTTCCAGGGCATGCCGTACATTCATTGCCAGGTTCAGAGCCAGGATGTATATGTGAAAGTGAAAGAGATGACGGTTTCCGTAGTACTCCGGCACTAGACTATCCAATATAATATCCCACTGAACGCCATTCTCAGTCACCTTTGACTGCCACCACTACGTCACGAGAAAAACAATGCCACAATGCATCGGCGAAAATACCTTTTGCTACGATTGCGTCAGTGGAGAATAAAAAGCAGATACGCATGTCAAGGTCTGATAACGAATTAAAGGCAAATAACAGAAAGAGGGAAGAAGTAGGAGATGAAGTTCAAATATAATAGATAACAAGGTTGTAAACAGCATCAGAGATGAGGATAACTGATCCGACTCGATGCGTGTAGGGAATATTTTCCCAGAGTATAGGAGGTGGGTAGTCTGTGATCCTACCCAGCCATTCGGGTAGTCAAACCACTTTGTTCCAACTCGGTCGTCTTGACATCATTATTGCAATCATTACAACAGTTTGATATCAAGATGGACATGCTGCAACCAAGTGAGTCTTGTTCAAGACGGTAGGAATATGGCAAGGGGGCAGCGTTTTTGATATTTGCCATGCACCACCGGGAATAGCCGTGACGGGCATGTTCAATTCTCTTGGCCAACGTGCAGCTAGCTCCTCGACGCCGCCCTACTGAATGCAATATAATGCCCAAGAAAAAAGAAATTTGGAATTGTTTGCAGCGGGCGCAACTATGTCGTCAAATTTGCCATGTATACTATATATTGAACACACTGCAACTCCATGCAGGTTCGTTCGGTCAAGACAATGCCGGGCTACAACATTGCGCAAGCAAGCACGGCGCAAACATCCCGAAACACTAGTAGACAAGAGACCGGACCGGTTGCATGGGATGTATGGAGATGTATGTATGTATGTATAGAGGGTCAAGAGGGTGGGTAAGGCGGGAGTTGGAAAAGCTTTTTTGAAAAATTTAAGCTTATTGAAACCAAGATGTGGAGCCGAGGAGGGAATGATGCAGCTTTCCTTCATGGGTTTCGAGGTATCCTTTTTTTTTTTCTTAATCCCTTCCTCCCTTCTCGCCTTTGGCCCCCCCTCGTCCCTCGTCTGTCTGCAACTGGGCTCGGCACTTGAGCTGCCCCAACTGCCCTTTAATGGTTCCTAAAACCCCCCCGCGACGCGCCGATCATTGAACTATTGAGGGAACCGGTAACCGAGACCGCGCTGTTACCTACCCGTGTGTGTGTGTGCAATTTTGCTTAGATTTTGTGTCTAAATTAGTGTTATAAGCCCGGTAGCCAAGCCTATAGGCCTGCCTAATCAAGATGACGTCCACTTTTTTTTCTTCTCCCTCACCTGTGGTTTATGTTACTCGTGTGGGGGAAGGGGTTTGATTGGTCAATCCAGTATAAATCATTAATTGGGTTTCAACAAGCGACTGCAGTCGCACATGTATGTAGGTATATATGCAGAGAAACGGGGAGAGAGGAGAGAAAGAGGAGGGTGTGAGTGTCACATACAGAAAGAAAGAGGACGAAGCCCCCACATTCAATAATATGTTTGTTTTTTTGTGTCTACCTATATACCGGTCGCATTAATGGAGGGGAGGGGAGAGCAGCTCAGCTAGCCAGCCAGCCAGCAAAGCAGCACAATGAGCAAGTAGAAAAAAACCACCTCCCGGAGTTCGGAAGAGGTGATACAACATACGTCACGGCTGCATGGCCCCCCCGGGGGGGTGTGTGTGTGTGCTCCATCAAACCAGATGGCTGCTAAGCGAACGATTGAGTTTAATCAGACTGCAGCTCCTTGTGTCGTATACGCCTTATATGAAATTTATTAGAAAGAAACGTGAGGCCATCAAGGAGCAATGTCTGATAATGGGAAGTCACTTTTTGTTGTTTGTCCCCCTTCCAACCCCCGACGCCGTTTTGTGGCAATGTTTGTTAAACCTCTCTTGTTGAGTCTTGGTGTTCGGATGATGCTTGACGGGCTGATGTGCAAGTGAAAGGCAATGCCTCGTATCAGCTCATGTCACAGTGACATTGCCACAGTACATATTTGAAATCTCAGCTATTCGCAACAAGTATGAGGCTTTCACAATCTATACTGCTATGGCGTGACCACCAAGATGGGTAGGTTCACATTCGCGTATGCAATGACTTTGCATTTCTCAACCAAAAAAAATACTACTACCCTATCAACTCATACCGACGTGGCTAATGTAGGATCCCGAAACAGCAGACTCATTTGAGTAAATGTGACGACACTCAAGCCCATTTTGGTGGTCGCTTCTCCAGGAACGCTGCAATACCCTCGATTTTGTGCGACGAGCTAAAGGCAGAGTAGTATAGGCTCCGCTCAAACTCATCATCACGACCTTTGTCATCGCCTGCACCAATAGAAAGTTTCTGATTAGCATTGTGTGTGGAACCCAAGGGCAAGAGAAACTCAAACATACTTCGACGAATCGCCTCTTTAGCGAGCGAGAGTGCGCCAGGACTGAGCTGTGCCAGCTGCCCAGCAAGCTTGAGAGTGTTTTCCAAGACGGACCCGGCAGGATAAATCTCAGACACCAAGCCTTGAGCTTTGGCTTCCTCGCTGGTGATGGAAGACCCAAACAGGATCATGTGCATGGCCTTGTATTTGCCGACAATGTTGGTCAGTCGCTGGGTACCGCCAGCGCCGGGAATCAGCCCAATTTTGACCTCGGGCAGACCAAAGTAGGCCTCTGTGGACGCTGTAATGATATCGCACTGCCAAAAAGAAGAGGGAAAAAGTTCATGTCAACTTGATGTTCAACTAGGGAGCATGTCGTGTTGCATCAAAGAATGAGGCATCCAGTCAAACCCCCCATTTGCAAGTGAGGCTACGGGTCAACTGGATGCCTCAAAGAGGAAAAAGCCTAGAATGATGCAAGGATGTATGTGTGTGTGTGTGTCTGACCTACCGCGAGTGCAACCTCGAACCCCCCGCCAAGCTGGAACGGAATTAGTTCGTCAGTCCTTTTGAAAGGAAACCATGGTACAAGTCCTGAAAGGAGAGGAAAGAATACGAGGATTAGAGGGTGTCTTTACCGCCATGCCCTCGACCGCGGCGATTAGTGGTTTTCGTACCGCCCCGAGGCCATTGCAGAGGTCTTCGAGGTATCTGCGCCGCTGTGCTGTTTCTGTATCGATGGCGGATATCTCCTTGATATCGGCGCCAGCTTTGTTTGTACCTTAGTAAACCTTTTCCGCTCCCAGGAAATTGAAGCAAGGGAAGTAAAAGACCAGAGCCATGTTGACTTGTTAACATCCCATGTTGAAGACTCACCCGAGAAGAAGGATTGGTTCCCAGTAATGACTATGGCGTGGACGCTGTCGTCCTTGGAGGCAGCCGAGAGTTCCTGCAATAACTCATCAATGAGGGCCTGTGAGAGCGCGTTTCTCTTTTCCGGCCGGTTAAAGGCAATGACCTTGACGTGCTCAACTGGCGTGCTAGTGGCGACAAGACCTGTGAGAGTTGATGCCATGGTTGCGTTTTGTTTCTTGCTCCACTTTGATGCTTGGAAAGTCGTGTTGGAAATGGGAATGAATGGTGTCTTCTTTGTCCTGTCGTTTTTGCTTGGTGTAGTATGTATGTAGGTAGTAGGCAATGTTGCGCAATGATACTCCTCAATGATCTACAGTTGGAGATAATAATAATAAAAAAGACGTGACAAGTATTTTGATGTCAGAGCACGTTTTTGATATACTGCCGCTACTACCGATGATGTGCTTGTAAAGGTGCAACATTCAGCTCATGCGAAATTATAGAAATGGGAAGGTCGCAGGCTGAAGGGGGATAGATGAATGATGCAAGTTTTAAACAAGTCGGCTATGTCGGGAGCCGCCGTGTCTGTTATGTAACTCTGGAACGGTATTTGACTCTAGAACTGGATGTTTGTATGTATGTATGTATGTAGGTATGCAACTGTGACTCGAGTTGAAGGAGGCGAAAAGAGGAGTAGCAAGAGAGTGATGAAAATTTGAAATAGTCGGCATAAAAAGGAAGTGTTGCTGTTCTTAGAATCGATCAGCCCTGCATGTGGTGTAAGCTGCCACAAGATGCTACAAGAATAGTTGCATAAGTTACACCAATGGGGAAGGCCCTGAGACAGACATTCTTGGCCTCGAGGTTCGCAATATCGCGACATTCCATTAGAGACACTGGCCTCAAGGAGGAGGAGGAGAGGGATCCAGACTTTGGATGAAATGGTTTGTTGTCATTATTCAATCATGTCTCTTTCCTCCACTCACACACACACTCTCTGTCTCTCTCTTCTTTCTTGGTCTTCACAGGCTGGTTGGCTTGCATGGCTTGCTGCATGGCTGACAGGGTGCGCATGTCCGTCTGCAGCAGGGTCTCATGGGCGGGGAGCAGCAGCAGCAGCAGCAGGCGGCAAAACGATGCAGGGCCAGGACGAACGGCACAACCACAAAAGAAGAAGACATGGATTGTTTTGTATGTACAGTGTAGTCAACAAGGTGCAGTTGGATACATGCTCGATGGCTTTCATCATCTTGTGTGATGGGTTCATGTGTTGTAATCCTGGCATCAACTGCTCGGCTACCTTCATTGCAGAAATGGAGTTTTGTTACCTTTTTTTTTTTTTTTTTTGTGCCAACCGGCGAGGCAACAGTACAGAGTAGCAAGCAAGCAAGCAAGTAACCCAACAGTACGTGCCCATTATAAGCAAGGGCATGTTTCTTATGAGAAACTCTAATCCTGCATGTCCTGCAGGGCTTTCCTTTAATGTTCCTAGCAAGCCTAGGCTTTTCTGCTAGGCCTGCTAGGCGTGCTGGGCTTGCTAGGCTCTTTTGGGGATGCCAGCCGGATTGAGGGTGTCTTGGGTGTGATTGATGACAAAAAGTGGCTTAGATCTGCAGATGAGATGCAGCTCTGCCGCACTGGGACCAGGGTCAAGAACAATTCGGCTCCAGGGCCGCTGCAACGTGTCGAAGCGGTCCCCTAATAATCTAGGCTTTTAGCTTGCTGCTTAGCTGCCATGCCTGCTGTAGGTCCACGCTATGCCGGGCTCGGCCGATACATTATTTGCAAGTCTCTTCCCCAATTCGGCCTGACGTGCTGCTGCAATCAACATACCTAACATTTTGGCAATTCTGTCACTTTTTTTCTTTCTTACCATCAATAATCTACTGTACATACCCTCGATCCCACCCCTGGGTCCTCTCCCCTCCCTCCTACATGAACCTGCAAAAGACCTTGCGAGATATCCTCAGCACCGGCCGAATTGCCTGACATGACTCTTGCGGTCCCTGTCGTTTCGTAATCCCGACTCGGGGGCCAAACAGGGCGTCTCTGCCATCGGGGGTTACTTCTTCTTCTCGTAGTAGCAACAAAAGCAGCCGCCGCCAGGCACCGCGTCAACTAAGCATCTGCTGAACAATCGCTTACGTGAATTGTCTTGTCCTTTTTTTGTTCTCCCACGGTGTTACTCTACTGTACGTCATCTTTCTTGGTAGCTCTTGTCGGTGACAATGTTACACGGTATCAACTAAACGAGAGACAGAGAAAGAGGACAGCATACCGAGGCCTTTCTCCCAATGTGCTTCCATGTGCTTCGCCAGCTTGTTTTGGTGTCTGTCTTGCTTTCCAGAGCAAGACATTCCCGTCCCCACGGACCTGTCACTTGCTTGCTGGTCCCGGAAATATCGCTGATTTGCGTGCAGTGCCGTAGTTCTGACAAAGCCCTCCCTCGCGTGAAGCCTGTCTTATGGTCATATGGTTGAGACCATATCCAAACCTGAGCGCCTGCTCAGGAGAGACCCAATCATGGATTCATGTCCGATGCGAACACAATCCCAGCCTCCTACCCAAGTATACCGTACCCATGGCCCTCAAGGACTATTCATCCATCACCCCAGAACGGGAGCGACCAAGTACACGTTGCTACTAATCTAATCGAGGTATCCATAACTACTGCTACCTTACATCGATCGTATCTTACGAGTCCACCATGTGTATTGCTTTGCCCAAAACGCCGTTGACCACATTTGGCGGCTCAGGCGCCGGAGTAACATCGTATCCTAGACAGTGAGGTCTCCATAATCCTCGGCATCTGGACACCGGCCTGGCTTAGCATCATACTACTTCACGCCCGCCCCGGCAAGCGGATCCTTGAATCTGTCCAGACTTCAGACGATATTCTCCAGCGGAAAAATAACCAATGCACTCTCCGTCGTCGACTTCCCGTTCTCGAACATGGTTCCTCCTTCCAGGGAATAGCAGGTAAACGGCTCGGGAAAGGGTACATGTGATTTCCGCCCATCACAACTTGTCGGATCTGGAAATATCACCTCCCTCCCAGGCTCGCCCGGTGAGAGACAACCGCGTCTCCGGCTATCCGTACATCGTTCCAGGATGTACGTCTCCAAGCGTCGCGGCAACATGGGAAGCATCATCATGCTTGCATCGTGGTCGCAGATATCCCCTCCAATATCACCTTCCCAGATGCTCAAGTCGACATCTTTTCACAGAGATCGTCTCTCCATTCAGACTCTCGTGCATGGTGCCAAGCATAGTGGTCCCTCGTCCCAGACGGGGTGGCGGCTGTTTTCTTTTGCAATTGATCCCATCCTTGACCTCATCGTGAGGATCTACCCGGTGTGGCCACGGACATTGATCCGTGTTGCTTGATGCGGCTGGAAGATGTATTCCCAATAGCTTACCAAGACGACCGGCGCTTCCCCCCCAGGTAACATCAGCCAGGAAGGGCAAGTGTGATAAGTCTGAATCTCGATGCCCGTGATGGCTCCTCTTCTGCAGCTGTGTCGAGATGCTTCGCCTAGTGGCGTCTATCCCCATGTCGATTGTTTCACAGAAGTTGGGACCTTGGATCTGTAGTTGGGGAAACACGGACCTGGAGGCAAAGTGATGCTGCTATGCCACCCCCAGTGTGAGCACGAGCACGACATTCCAGTCGTGGTCCAGCTTCCTAGTCGAAGCTGATGGCCAGGCGGGAGGGTGTGCCTGACTTGGAAACAGAGACAGTGTCCAAGGGAGTATATAAAGACTTGACAAGATGCCCAACTCCCGGAGACAACGTGAGTGTTTGGTGTTTTATCTCTTACCTCAAGGAAATTGCATCTCATACACCGCTTTCCTCCCTCCAAACCCTCATCTGTATCACGAGGCTCGCCGCATTCGCTTAGTTGCCGATCTCGAGCTCTATCCTCGTGATGGCGTCCAACGCGGACCGATTGGTCCTGGCCAACGCGAGCGCAATCCAGACCACTGCTCCCAATCTTGCAGATCCCCTCTGCTTCAGTTTCGGGCCACGACAAACTAGCCCCTTTGGTACCGTCACTGCTGCATTCTTTCACCATGCCAAAGTCCGCCCCGCGGCCGTAGCTGCCCGGGACTACTCGCGGAAGTCGGTCCGAAACATCACCTATGGCGACCTGGCGTCGCGAGCCCGCCGGCTGGCAGTAAGCCTACGGACCTTGGGCGTTCGCCCGGGCGACCGCATTCCGCTGGTTGTGAAGCGCAGCATAGAGATGCTAGTCGGAGTCATTGCGATTCTGTCTTGTGGCGCTCAATATGTGCCTCTTGATGGCGGAGTGGTTCCTGACACCACTCTGCGTTTTGTCCTCAAGCAAAGCGGCGGCAGGATCGCCCTTTGCCTGGCTTCCACAGAGTACCGTCTCACCAGCCTCGAGGGAATGGAGTGCCAGCCCGTGGTGATTGAAGAAGCAGACGCAGAGCTTGCATCTGTTCAGGAAAGCTATCCGTTTGAGGACAGCTTTGTTGATCTCGCCAGCGAGGACCTTGGATGTTATGTGATTTATACTTCGGGCACGACTGGCACGCCCAAAGGCGTCGACGTCAAGCACGGCAATGTGACCAACCTCATCTGCCTAGCCCCAGGCAACCTTGGCATCAAGCCGAGAACGCACGTTGCGTCCGTCCTCAACATCAGCTTCGACATGGGAGCGTGGGAGATTCTTGCCAGTCTCTGCAATGGCGGTACTCTGGTCATGAGAGGTTCCGACTGGGACCAAGCCCTTCGCGAAGTGGATGTTCTCATCTGCACACCGAGCATCCTAGCAAAGTACAACCCAGCCATGTATCCCCGGATCAAGGTCGTTGCTACGGCTGGAGAGCCGAGTGGACAGAGGCTCGCTGACCTGTGGGCGACTCACGGCACTTACTACAACTGCTGCGGCCCCACCGAAACCACTATTGTGAACACCATGTGCGACCACATTCCTGGGACTCCCCTAAATATTGGCATCCCGACCCCGAACAACTCGGTGTACGTTCTCGACGAGGATCTGAATCCAGTACCTGTAGGCGAGCCCGGCATCATGTGGGGTGGCGGTTTGGGCATCACCAGAGGCTACATTGGTCTCCCAGAGGTCACTGCCGCCAAGTACAAGCCGGATCCCTTTGCCAATGACGGTAGCATGATGTATAACACAGGCGACCTCGGTCGATGGAGACCCGACGGTGTTCTAGATATTCTCGGCCGAGTCGATGACCAAGTCAAGGTCAAAGGGTTCCGTGTCGAGCTCGATGGCGTATCGGCTTCCATCAATGGATGCCCCGGTGTGACGCGCGCCGTTGCTCTATTGATTGGCGGCGAAATTCATGGGTTCTTGGAGCCTGCCTCGGTGAACCTCGATGAGCTCAAGCAACAGCTTGCGACAAAACAGCCATACTATGCTCGTCCCAGCAAATATCACTTGCTGGACACACTGCCCGAGACTGCCAATGGCAAGCTGGACAAGAAACTCCTCCGCTCCATGGCCGAACTTTCGCAGTCGCACCATGACTCAGAAAAGACATTGGCGTCGAGTGCCTCTGGCAGTAATATCTCGACGTCCGGTTCGGAAACCTCTGCGGATCTCAAGAAAGGCGTCATTGAAACTGCCATGGTTCTCAACGAAAAGGCCGATCTCACTGCCGACATCCCGGACAAGCTCCTGCAGAAGCCGTACAGAGGACTCATATATCGCATTTTCATCGTGTACCGCTTCCTCTTCTCCGTCGTGGGACTCGGCAACATTGGCGCTCTGGTTGCCATCATTGCTACAGGGACTGACAGGCAGTGGCTGGGCACCATGACGGCCATCAACCTTTGCCTTGCCGTCATGATCCGTCAAGACTTTGTCATTAATGCCCTGTATACCATCTGTTGTTCCGTTCCCACATCATGGCCTCTCTTCATCCGCAAAAAGTGCGCCAAGATCTATCATTTGGGTGGTGTGCATTCGAGTGCTGCTGTATGCGCCGGCATGTGGCTGCTGGCTTCAAATATTGTCAGCGTCACTTGTCAATTGGCGCCTGGCACTTGCGTCCAGGGGGAGAAGCCCCAGTCGCTGGCCGTGGCAATCATTGCATGGATCCTCACTGGCTTCTTCCTCTTCATGTTTGTCTTTGCCTACCCCCCGATCAGGAAGCGCAACCACGACGTTTTTGAAAAGGTGCACCGCTTCGTCGGCTGGACCATGCTTGGGCTCTTCTGGGCGCAGTCAGTCCTCACCGCCAACGACACTAAGCGCGAGGGCGAGACACTGGGCGATGCCGTGCTGCGGGCTCCTACTATCTGGCTGCTCGTCGTTGCCACCTGCTGTATTGCCATGTCGTGGCTCTTCCTGCGCAAAGTCGATGTCGAGTCCGAGGTGCTCTCGCCTCATGCCGTCCGTCTACACTTTGGCTACACGGTCCCGGTCAATGGTAGCTTCACTCGCATCTCGAGGAAGCCCCTGATGGAGTGGCATTCTTTCGCCACCATCCCGGCCCCCGAAGCCGTCAACGGCCGGCCCAAGGGCTACTCGCTCGTTGTCTCCAATGCCGGCGACTGGACCAAGGACTGCATCCAGAACCCACCGACCAAGCTCTGGGTTCGCAGCGTGCCGACCTGCGGCGTCATGCGCATCGCGACGCTCTTTGACCGCGTCGTCATCATCGCCACGGGCTCGGGCGTCGGCCCGCAGCTCGGCCACATCCAAGCCGTCGTGTCGAACAAGAACAAGAACCCCAACAAGGTGACCAAGATGATCTGGTCCACGCCCAACCCGGAAAAGACGTTTGGCAAGCCCCTGCTCGACACCATTTACGACAACATTCCCGACGCCGTCATCCACGACACCAAGGTCCTGGGCCGTCCCGACCTGGTCAAGATGGGCTACAACCTGGCCCGCAGCTGCGACGCCGAGGCTGTCATCATCATCGCCAATGAAAAGATTACCAAAAAGGTCGTCTATGGCCTCGAGACTCGTGGCGTCAACGCCTATGGTGCCATTTGGGATAGTTGATTTGTTTCGCCTGGCTTGTGGGAGATTTCCCCCTAAAACCGAAAATTGTGTGTGATAGACTGCTCGCACATTTGTTTTCTTTCGTCCATATATGTCTATTCATAGACCGAAAATTCCGGGTCATCTGTTCTCTTGTGTAAATATTCTCGTGGTATACTTCTCTTTTCTTCTTCTCATTTTCATGTTTCCGAGGTATGAATTTTTGGACGATCACTTGGCAGCTCATTGGGAAAGCGGTCTTTTTTAGTGGTTATTGGGGAAGTCAAAAGAAACTTTGGACTCTCGCTGTTATTCTTCTTTGTAAAATGGAAATCGATGAGAATTTCGGATACTCCAGTCTTGTCTTTTCACCCTAAAGATGTTCTTTTCACTCCTTTCGTGATTGATTTGTAGCAGCCATATACCAACTCCACCGCGTCCTTGGGGGAGGATCTTACAAAGTACTATTCTATCGTAATTGTACATGGATAATTATATCTCGGTTTGTTGTGTTTGCCCAGTTCGTCCATCCGTCGGTCGCGTATCGCCTCGACTCTGGCAGTTCTGTTCTCGTTGAGAGAGGGTTTGGGAGAAGATGGGATTCGCGTCAGAAACACACATTTTTTGATTGCCAGAGGGAAAGAAGGGCGCTTTCCGGTTTTTATAAAATGGGGAGAGGGATTTTGTGCCATTTTTGACCTTCCCGATCAACCCCCCGTCTCCCCAAACCCTCGTATGATTCTGGGATCCCGTTTCCTTGAGCATCTTTCTTTTTCTCCTTTGGGAAAAAAAAAAAAAAAAAGGACGCAGTGTAACGTGCTCTTTGCCTTCAAAGGAAGGACTCCTGTGGTCATGCGAGACGGCAGATCGACCAAACCCCTCCCTCCCCCTTCCCGGCTGAAAGAATAGGCGACTGACTGGACTATACAAAGGCCGGGGCCCGGTGTTTGGAAAGCGCGTAATTCTTTTTCCTTTTTTGGTCATCTATTATGATTGGCCTTGCTGCCGAGGATAGATAGAAAAAAAGAGGAAAAGAGTGACGCGCGGCATGACTCTTTGGATCTTTGTGTGTGTGTAGACGCCCACTCCGCCGAAATGGCTTCCCAAACGGGAAAGCCTGGAGGCTATGCTCCCAGTTATAGTTGAGCGAGAGTGAGTGGTTGGCGAGGCAAGTGAGTGGATCCCGGGGGTTCTCCCCTCGGCGTTTGAGCGTACGTGTGTGTGGTGTGTGGTGTGTGGGAAGGGCCCCGTGCCGTGTCTTTGTGCCCCTCGCGCCGCTTTGGTATGCAGGCTGAACCGAAAGCGAAGCGGTTTTTCATTTGCGGATATTCCGAAAGCGAGCTGTTGTACGACATTTGATAATTAAGATCGAGCCGCTTAGTCATGGGGGGTTGCAGTCCCTTCACTCTTTTTTTTTTCCCCAAGGTGCGGGTGCGGGTGCGGAGGGCATCTCCAAGCAGGGGGTGGGATCAAAAGAAGAAGCAATTTCTCATATCTTGCCAACAAACTCAATGGTGCGGCGCATGTAGTCGGACTCGCTATACCATTCCTTTGCGTCTGCAAGGTCGGCTCGGAGCTCTTTAAGGATCCTCTCCCACCCAACAGTCAGATGCCAATTGTTCTTCCATAGCTTGAGGGCGCAGTGCTTGGCCAGGAGATCAGTGGGCTCGAGTAGGCGGAGGACGTCCTTGATCTGCTGCCATTTTGTTATCTTGGCAGTGTGTAGCAGACTGATGCAGTGATACGCAAACAGTGTCGCCATCTTGAAAGCCTCGAGCAGGGCAATCTCGCTGGGGATCTGGCTCAGGTCGTAAATGTCGCCCAAATTTGGCTCCATGTCCCTAGTCAGATCGTCGATGCGCGTCGGGTCTTCTTTCCACTGCTCGCAGAGCTCGTCGTGCCAGGCCGTCATGTCCCGCATGATCTGGTTGGACAGTATGCGGGCCCGGACCTCGTCGACGTCGGCCTTGGGCAACTTGGTTCCGACGTTGCGCTTGTCCGTCTTGACCGCGGCCGGGTTGGCCAGGGCGGCGGCCACGCTTGGCGGCACCTCTGGCTCGTTCTGTGTCAGGCCCAGCGAGTCGAGAATATCCTGCATATCAAAGACATACGACTCCATGGAATCGACCAGCTCCTCGGTCACGGCGACCTGCTTGGGCGGCGCCCTCGCCACGTACGACTCCCGCGACGTGCGGATGCGCTTGGCGGGAGAATCCTGAAACTCGGGCTGGTTTGCTCCTCCTCCTCCTCCCGCTCCTCCGTCCTCCCCGTCCGCGTCGGCATTCTTCTCCGCGTCGGGGTCGGCGACACTGCCAAAATCGCCACCAAACCACTGGTCGAATATCTCCCGCTCCGCGTGCGACTGAAATTCCGCATCGCGCTCTGCAGAGTAAATAGCCTTGGGTGCCTGCGGCTTCTTGGGTGCCTTGATTCTCAGGGAACCATTTACCCCCTTCTTGGGCATTTTGGCGATCTTTCGCCCAGGAGGAGCTTGAGAAACGACCCGACCCATACCGAAGAAGAGAGACGGAACGAATGGTAGTAACTTCTCGTAATAGAATGGCTCACTTGGGTAAAGGTCGGTTTTGGACGCGAGAATAAAAAAAAAAGAAGAAGACGCGTTTATCCTCCTTTTGGTCACTCTTCCCCCTTCTCTTTCTTTTCCTCTTTTTTTCTTTCTTGTTTTCCCGACTAGAAGTTTAGGTCGTAGAACTCGACGCCCAAAGGTTTCGCGTCACTGGGAACCGCCGGGATATTTTTTTCTCTTAGCGGGGCCCGTAAACGAGGTTCCACCTAGGAGCCTCACTCATTCTCTGACAAATCGTTGGCTTGGTCTACCTACCTCGGTAGCCCGAATAATAATAATAGTATAACTGGGATATCCCCTTCTGGTGAAATAACAGTAGCAATGGGGAAAAAAGATTGGATGAACATGAACAAGATACTTGAGAGATTGAGAGAGTATGGCGACCGACTACCTTTCCAAACCGGATATAGGCAGCTCTTCGATTCGATCTGCACACCGATACAAGGGAAAAAGTGGGGGACACTTATTCCAGCTGCTGGTGCTGATGCCAGCGCCAACGGTCAATCCGCTGGTTGGGTGTGTGTCGCCTAAAAGTATGTTTGAACTCGGGGAGGATTGGAAAGGGGTTTCATTGATAATTGACCTGAGTCATCTCGCAGTTTATTGTGTGGAAATGACCAGAGAGAGAGAAGTGAGTCGTGTTCGATGCGTCCACCTAGCACTAGAAGATAGGATCGCCATCAAGGGGGGGTTTGGATGGATGGCATTTGGTCATCATCATCATAAAATAGCATATACAGGCGGCCCCCTTCCGAGCACTAATAGCAGCACATCATGTACAAATGCAGTATTGTGTCGAATGCACGAAACCTTCTAGAACCCGGCTAGCACGAACGCGTTTGGTAAGAGCCGCCAAAGATTAGAGGCAATGGTAGCCGACCTATTACTATTTTCTGAACAATATGCATTCTTCCTCTGTTTTGTTGGAACAAACAAACAATAAGCACTTTTGTTATCATCATCGTCATCATCATTGCCGTCACCCACAAAGAGAAGAAGCTGCCGATCTCGCATCTCGTCCCGTGCTCACTTTGACTGGGTCAGCACCGCCCCCTTTTTGCTCAGAGCTCATTCCAGAGCCGCTCGTAGGATCCTTTCTGGGGGGGGTGCAAGCAGGTGCACTGTCCCTATCTTTGTGATTATTTCCATTATTCGCTCTCTGTTGCTGGGCCTTTCCTTCGAGTCTATTGAGAGGCTCCAGTCCAGGCAAAAGAGGAGAGAGGAGAGTCCTAGGGCACCAGCTAAACTAACCTACCTTAGTCGTGTCCCGGGTCGCGTAGTATCAGGGGAAAGCTGGCAGCGGGCGAGTGAGACGTGTCAGTCTCCGCTACCAACCCCCCGCCATTAGCTGCTTGACACGCTGTCGCGTCGCTATTGGTGTATGGATACTTGCCCGTGTTTTTCTAAAAGGTCAAAGCAATCAACATTTTCAAGATCCCAAGATAAGAAACTCACAGACGCCTGAAGTAATCAAACCAGAATTGGTAGATCTTGTGAATAAGGCGTGCACCAATTTCACGAAACTGCACATACCTGGGTAACAAATGGTCGCCAAGATGCACACTCTCTTTACACAGTACAGGAGATTCCTACCCAAATGTAGGTAGCTTGTGGGGCGGGAACCGTGAATACTGAATACCCGACATTAGCATCCTAGCGCCGTGTGCACTCATTCACAAAGCTACATGGGCATCTGCTGCAGACGGCCCCAAACCACGCTAAATGACCTAGAACAGCGTGCCTATCAATGTATTTTTGTGCTGGTGCTTAATGTATTCATGCCAAGCTTGCTGTACAACTATCATTTGAATGTAAACATGATCATCGATTCGCAAAGAGAAGAGCAATTTCTCACTGGAAATTAATAACATTACGACAATACGTCATATCAAAATAGATGCACAGAGGTAGCCACCACATGGCAGCTGGCTTAGACTGCAACAAGGAATCAATCCGAAGGGGTTGACAACAATGCATTGCCACCCCACATATGCCACATCATGAACGTGTATCAAATATTTGTAGTTTTCGAAAACATTTACTCAAAATCACCACACGACAAATCAGCGACTCGACAAACAAACGATTTCAAATCAATCTCCCTGACCTGATTCTCATAGGCAAAAACAACTTTGGATAAGGCACCAAAAATGAAATAGATTCCTACCAACACAAGCGATTCCTTTCTTTTTCTGCGGAAGACCATAATAAGGTGAAATCTAAGAAGCATGGGATTACCTCTATTGAACATCACCTACGTTTGCTAAATTTATTTGCTCCATCTGTATGTTCTCATCACCTAAATAACCCTTTCGGGCTTGAGTACGAGCTAGTCATCCTACTCTAATCTTAGGCCAAAAATCCAAATAGCCAATAATGCTCATAACATAGTGCATATTCCATATCAGATAGACGCTGCTATATGTGTCTACATCAAGTTTTCCTCTCACCAATGCTCTGGCAACATGAAGATATCATATTTTTGGAAACATTCCGGTGAATACAAAATGGAAAATGGATTGGCCCTATTGTGCTCTCCAAAACTTTTATAATGATGGTTGAACATGATGGTGTTTTGTAGCATATTGGAGCCACGTTATTACGATTTCAACCTAAAGAGACTAACCTAGATGAAGACTTGGCAACTGAGTGAGAGACTCGAATGGAGCTTGGTGGCAGACTCATCTTAAACCCCAGCAGAAGAATCGTTGCAAAAGCAATCCCTGAAAGCGACGATATATGTTTGAAATTCGAACATAGCAGGCCATGAAAGGTATGAGTGCCAGTGAGAAGCGTAAACTGTAACCATGTCATATGCCCTGCACAGTCATGATGGTACAAACCTTCCATGATTTGCTGTGCTTGTTAAACATGACTTGACCACTGACTTGCCAATTGCTGATTATCTAATCCCTTGTTGACCGTTCGTGAAAGCAATAGCTTCATTTCTTTAAGCGAAGTTTAGCGGCGGAATTCCATAGACTCGATGCGGACAAGATCCCGGTATACCAGGAAGCTAGCATCAAATCGACATTTCGTGACACGCGACTCTATTTGTATATCCACTGGGAAATATTCATTACTGGGACTGTTCTGAATCAGATCGGGTCAAACCTTTGGAACTTACAAGTCAGGTTGAATAATAATTCTGTAGTGTTTTAGGTTAGCCTTTACCTACCTTAATCACAGCGGGCCGTCTGAACTAAAAGACCGTCTGGACTCTGGACTGAAGATCGTGGGGTAAGCGGGTTAACAGGTGCGAAGTGAAAAGAACCAACTGACCCAAGCGAGGGGTAAAGGTGCACTATTCTTTGGAGAAAACCTGGGGCTTCATCCAGACCTGGCCCTAGTAGCTATTCCAGTCTGGTCACGTTGACGACAAAATCCCTCGTATTTCTTTTTGCTTTCCCTTGGTTTTTGTGCGTTTAATGTTGTAATAAATCGTCTGCTGCTGTATGATACCCATCTGCATTGATTTCTTTGCTCTTTTACCATCGAGTCACGAAGCTCTCCGACGGGCATATTGCAGAACCTTGACGTCAGTGTAGTCGCAAGCGGGGTCCAAGTTCGCTACCAGAAAGCACGAACGAGCGGGGCATTGGTGGAACGAGAACAGAGGAAGCTCGAATCCCCTCAGCAAGAATACCGTGAGCTCGAGCAAGGCGCGTGCCAAACAAGAATTCCCGAAAGAAAGCTCTCCTATTACCATCTCGACCCGCATTCTACAAATTAACATGTCGGGACCAGTACCAGAAGTCACTGCGCTGCAGGAGGTCTACACACAGCAGTCGCTGCTGGAGCAGGGTGTGCGATGGAACAAGCTCCTCGAAAAGTTCCAGAGCCTCTACGGCCGTTCTGCTGACTTTGTGGCGCGGTCGCCAGGTCGCGTCAACATTATTGGCGAGCACATCGACTACTCGCTTTACTCGTGTCTACCCATGGGCATCACTCCCGACGTCATTATCGCCGTCTCTACTGAGCTCGACGGCCCCTCGGGCGACGGAAGCACTTACAAGCTAAAGCTTGCCAACCTGGACGACCAGAGATTCCCCACGCGCGAGTTCGATGTGAAGCACGGCGAGGTCGAGATCGATGCGACGCAACACGAGTGGACAAATTACTTCAAGGCCGGTCTCAGAGGTGCCCTGCAGCTCTTGAAAAAGAAGCATGGCGCCGACTTCAAGCCCAAGAGTATGCAAGTGCTCATGGACGGCACTGTCCCGGCTGGTGGTGGTCTGAGCTCGAGTGCTGCATTCGTCAGCGCCAGCGCTCTCGCAGTCATGATTGCCAACGGCGAGAAGGACGTGGACAAGAAGGACTTGACCGAGGTCGCCATTGTCAGTGAGCGTGCCGTTGGTGTCAATTCGGGAGGGTGAGTGAAGACTGCTTCTGCTTCTGGAAATCAAGCCAGGTACTAACATCCTGCAGTATGGATCAATCTGCATCCATCTTCTCCGAAAAAGATTCTGCACTGTTGGTCAACTTCTGGCCCTCTCTGTCTGCACGACCAGTGTTCTTCCCCAAGACAAGCCCCGAGCTGATCTTTGTTATTGCACAATCCTTTGTCACCTCGAACAAGCAAGTCACCGGACCCATCCACTACAACCTTCGGGTGGTGGAATGTAGCATGGCAGCTGCGTTTCTCAACGCCAAGTTGGTGCCCGGAACTGAACTGCCCAAGGATGCAGGCCCTCTTGGAGTGTCCCTTCGAGGATTCCACTCGAATTACTTCAAGGACTCGAAAAAGTCTTCAGCTGAGCAGATCGCCGAGCTGATCCAGCTGACAAAGTCAACCCTTAGCAAGGAAGAGGGATACACATTGGAAGAGGTTGCATCTGCTGTGGGCACTACCGTTGATGATATCAAGTCCAGATTCATGTCCAGCTTCCCCGTGCGAGGGGAGCGCTTCAAGCTCAGACAGCGCGCGCTGCACGTCTTTACTGAAGCTGCCCGAGTTACAGACTTCATGACCCTGCTGGAAGACAAGTCGCACCACACAACATCAGGCGATACTGCGGCTTATAACCAAAAGCTTGGCGACCTGATGAACGAGACTCAGGACTCGTGTCGGGAACTGTACGAATGCAGCTGTCCCGAAATCGATGAGATCTGCAAGATTGCCCGGGAGGCAGGCAGCTATGGTAGCCGGCTGACTGGTGCAGGCTGGGGTGGATGCAGCGTCCACCTTGTCCCTGCAGACAAGGTTGAAAGTGTCAAGAAGGCTTTCCACGACAAGTATTACTCCAAGCGCAACCTGAGCGAGAGAGACCTGGAAGCCGCCATCGTCGTCAGTAGACCCATGAACGGCAGCGCAGTCTTGCAATTGAATGATGGAAAGTTGGCTTGAAGTTGCTACAGGTCTGAAGCCAGCATGAGACTTGCTTCTTGGCGGGAGGAATAAGGGGGATGCTATGTGTCTCCATAAAACACTCTCGCCAAGACTGTACCTGGTTGATAATGACGACCATCGTGTGAATCACCACCTTGACGTTCAGAGTCCTGGAAATCCAGACTCGATTCTTCTAGAGTATATCATTTGACCAAACAATAAACAGCACATATTGAGAGCCACATCATGTTCCTGACTTTGCACGTGCAGAGCTTCTCTTGGAGAGGTCCAGGCATGTTTTGATTATGCTTATTTCGGCTAAGGTTGCAACCGTTGAGCTAGTCCCAGTTCCCCGGGCACAGCGGCAGGATCTACACAATAGCGTGCGGGTCATGATAGTCCAATGGGAACAAAGACAGTATACTAGACCAATCAAGACCCTGATATAAATAGGATTCATAACCCAATTCGGATGCTTACAGCCCCCAATTTGAAGGTATGGACGTTGGAGGATTTTCCTCCATCCACCGTTCACTCAGCCCTGCGGCACCGATTTCTTGCCCTCTGCTCGAAATCAGGGGAGGCCTCGACTCATTTCCCTCCCTCATAATTATCCGGCTAGACAGTCAGATCTGTGCCCTTTTTTTTGTTCCCTTCATGGCCTGTATTGCTTCGTCATGACGTCCCGCGAGGACAGATTGTTCGACGAGAACAAGTACTTCTTCCCCGAGGGCGCCGCCGCCATCCTTGAGCAGCGGAGTGAGCAGCCGTGGTTGGAAGTGCTAGCCGAGAGAGACGAGCAAGGGACGCCCGGTTTGCAGCCGGTGCCAAATGAGCAAAAATACGTGCAGCAGCAGAACATCTCCGGAATCAAAGGATTATACGAAAACAACATTGCCCCGGTATATTTGCCCGTGCACGCGGCCATTGCAGGCCCATCATCGTTGCTAGCTCCAAGCGATGCTGGGCGAGCATTTACACCAGCACCAGCACCAGTACCAGCGCCAGCATCGCCGCCAGCGACTGCACCCACGACTTCACATGATGGCGCCGACCTCTACTTGTCCGACGATCAAGACCATGGAACAACTATATCCTCGCTGAGGGAACCATGGTCGCAGCCAGATTTCACAAACTTTGCGCAACAAGACCAGCAACAGCAACAGCAACAGCAATATGCATCTTGGAGCCAAGCAAGTGACCCCGAGGTGCACAATCCTTCATGGACACATGCGACAGTGCCAGAACAGAACCAGCATTATATACAGCCAACGACGGAATACGTGCAACAATACTTGGCTCCCGTAGCATCGTATGCACCACATGGCTATCAACCCTCGAGTGTAGTTGTGCAGGCCGATCCGTCCAAACATGCTTACTGGGCAAAGTTTTCAGAGTATAACGGTGGACAGTTGCCATCTCATCTTTCTCAACACTCGCATTCGCACTCATCCTTGGATGTCTCATCGCAGTATTCGGGCGGGAACTTTTCGGGTTGGGCTCATGGCCCAGACCAACGGACATTACAGCACGTAACTCCGGATATGCCCCTGATGAATGACAAAGCCAGTGCATCCTCCAAAAAGCTGCCGCTGACTGCCAGGTGGACTAAGAAGCAAATATGGTGGATGGCAGGGGGTATATTTCTGCTCGTGGCCATTGGTGCAATCATAGGAGGAGTGCTCGGGAGTAGACATTCAAATAATGGTTCAAAAGCTAAATCTTCATCATCATCATCAGCAGCATCGTCAGACGCAAACAGCACTGTTTCGTATGAGATGAAAACTATTAGGCGAAACTCGAGGTTGGCAGTCACGGGCTACAGAGGATCAAGCGGAAATTACACTCTCCGCCTCTTCTTCCAGGATCCAGACCACCATATACGGTTCATGGATAAGTCGAGTGTCGGCGGGACTTGGACGGATCCCACGACACTCGACACGCTTGGCTACCAGCCCAAGCCGTATAGCTCTATTACAGCGGGATCATACGTCTGGAACTCCCCCGTAAGTACCTTTCCCCAGATCGTTCAGTAAAGAAAGACCATTACTGACGCGGTTTCCATCACAAGCCTCTCATAGAGTTCTTTTATATTGATACGGATTCCACAATCCGTGGACAGAGGTTCGACCTCTTTTCAACCTCGACACGCAAGGGCACAGCCAGCTCCCTTAATGACTACCCGCTGCAGGCGGCCGAGAACTCGAGCCTGTCGTGCTACTTCCCCTACCTCGTCTCGCAAGACGCCATCGACGCGTCGCAGACGCGCTGGACCCGGATGCTGGGCAAGAACGGCTCCGACGCGTCCCAGCCGTGGTGGGAAAACGACACCGTCGCGGACGCGGCCGACGCCTACTCGCCCGACGCCGGCTTCGTGCTGCTGCCCGTGGCGCAAAAGTTTCAGGAAAACGCCGGCTTTGCGTACCGGAAAACCACCGGCGGCGGTCTCGGCCTGGCCATGAAGGACTACGACGGCGGCGACACCCTGACCGACGTCTCGTGGACCCGCGGCACGACGCCCTCGGCCGACGGTATCGCCGCCGGCTCGGCCGTGGGCGGGTTCGTGGTCGGTCGGCAGTATACACAATCCGACATCAACACGTATATTCTATACCAGGACACCGACGGCGTGATTCAGGTTGTCTGGCAGGACGGGGACGGCTGGCGCGGGCCCCAGACGTATGACGCGCTTAATGACGCCGAGCCCGGCACGGATATCGAGTGTCTGACCCAGGGAGCGTGGGAGGGCACTGGCGTGCAGGTGTCGGTGGAGCAGGACATGAATCGGTGCTTCTTCCAGGAGAAGGGCACGGGACGGCTGAGAGAAGTGTGGTTCAACGGTACTGACTGGAGGAACGAGGGCTATGTGCCCCTCGACTAGACGAATGGGATATTCCATGTAAAAATGTGTCATCCAACAGTATGTATTTCTAGTCAGCGATTCACAGATAGATACCCACTGTATATAGATCTGGACTAGCATGAGCGAATAATTTGATTTTTACTATCTTGATCACGCCATCTCCCAGCCATTGTCACCATTGCAGCCCAAAATTTATGCATTGTCGTTTTTGTTTGTATATCCCCTGTATCTTTTGAGGTTCATCATAATGACATTTCAGCAAGCCCTTGAAATCGCATCATCCCATCTACTTGCCACACATTTCGGGCCAGTACCGTGCTGGGGGGGAAAGAAATAGCCCTGCAGCGCACATCGTCATCCATTGAAACGATTCATTTCCCATGTTCCATCTCCTTCAGCTTTTTATAATTTCAAACTCTGCCTTGATTCCCATGTGATCAGTGATCCACGGCTTGTCAAAGCCAAGCTCGACAATATCATCTCTCTCCGTCGGACTGTCCAGCTGCACGTCTTGGCCGAAGCGCTCAAATGACTTGAGCTCCAGTGCACCACAGAAAAAGACCTTGTCCATTCTTGAGCACCCAAACCTTTCCCGCAGCGACGTGGCCGCCTGTTGGCCCCATGTGTATCCTTCCTCGCTGTCTTCCTGGCCACCTAGTTCCAAATATGCATCCTTGAAGCCGTTGTCGCTATGCAGCGTTCGGTCAAAGTCCTGGATGGCGTTGAAATCACCAGCAGCTATTCCGGCCTGAACGTCGTCCTCTGCGAGGTATCGTCCCATGAGCTCAACTTGGGGCGGACGGTACGGCGGCATCATGTCCAAGGACTCGAGATGCGAATTGCACAGTCTGACCTTTTTGCCCTGCAACAAGAAATCGACAAAAAAGGCGTCGCGCTCCATGCGCGTCTTGGAATAGTGGACGCGAAACACGGCCTCGAGGGGCAGCAATCGTCGGTCCACCAGCATCGTGGTGCCATAGTGGCCCGAGGCCCAGTTCTGGCTGGTCAGGTCCGTCATGGCAAAGCGCTCGCGCACCCAGGGCGTGTTTGCAATGGTCTCGAGGTCCGAGGCTATGCACTCTTGGAGGAAGATGACCACGGCCGTGTTTTCCGGAACTTGAGAGGTGAGATTCGCTAGTGTCTCCAGGCCAATTTCCATCCGTGAGGTCGGGTATGGCAGCATAAAGTCAATGTTCCAGGCGTAGAGGGCCAGACGGTCAATAACGGACTGAGCAGTCTTCTCTTGAGAGCTATTCGGAACCGATTTTCCGGCTTCGTGAGAAGTCCAAGACTTTGTGGCATCGTCGTAGAGATAGTATGCTTGTTCGTGTGGCTGATCCGGCTTCCAGGACACCGAGGCTTTCCTAGAGGCCTCGTTGTGGGCGACGGCTTTGCGAAAGACTTCCTCCATAACGTTGGACGTTCTGAAGCTCGAGTTTGTGATGGAGTTTAGGGCAGCTTTTGGATCTCTTGGATCTTTTGCCAGGTGACTGCCCATTCAAGTAAAAAAAGGGTTGAGTGTTGTTTCAGTAGGAAGTAGCGAGTGAGTTCAAGCAATTACATCAATCAGTGGAGTTTCCGGGTTGTAAAGTGGAGCCCCTCTCGCTCCCCGGATTTATAGTGCTGTAGATCTGGCGTGGCCAACGTTCAAGTCTGGTGAACTACACAAGAGGCATGTGCGGATTCCAAAGCAAAAGAAGTTGAATTTTTATGGATATGGGAAGAAGGGAGGCTTTGAAAGATTCGACGATATAATATAAATTAGTTCAAGCCTTGCCGCGGCGATTCCACGTGGTCTTATCGTCTGCCTGTAGGCAGCAATATCAACTTGATGGGTCATAAAATGTGATGAGCCTCGTCTGCAATCAGCGATCCACGTTTATTACACTTGACTTCGAATGATACAATGAAATGCGGGATAACTTATTCAAGCATTATACCATCCATAAAATGACAGATGCATGCGTAATTGAGACTTTGCAGAAAAGAGAAGAAAAATCAAATGGGGCAGCGTCGAGTGACTGCATATTTTATGTCTTCCTCATGCTTGATCATGGCGCATGGGCCTGGCGAAAACCCAGTACCAATACTGATGGAATTCCTCACTCCACTTGTATTCCTTTCGGGAAATGATTTACACAGTAGAATTTGAGTTCACACGACAAAGGAAAAGCGACCAAGAAAAATTGTCATGTAAGGCATCTCGCAGCCGGACCGACCAATGACCGGCATTCCCGAGCCGATATACGTACCTTTCTTGAGATGAATAATTGCTGCAATGACGTATTCCCAAATGCTGGTGGACAGGGGTCAAAGTGCCTGGTACATGACTAATATTGGTCGTCACGATAGCAGGTCGTTTCCATTTGCTTCAAATACAAAGTAACACTTCTCTGCATGATGCCCGCATGTTCATCAAATCCATCTGTATCTACACAGTCAGTATAGTCCAAGACATTTTGGCCTTAGAGCCATGTATGGACTTGCAATTGATCATTCAGGGATCGCCTGGTTGGTTTCAGCAGTGTTGGTGGCCCACTAATGCTTAGCGCAAAACATGGTAACATGGCACCACACTAGGGCGATAAGAGCGCCTGGCAAGGTGCCCGCCTACATAGATAAGACACAGCGCTTGAGCGCCCGTCATTTCGCCTGACCGAGAAAGGCGGGATGCCGCGCAGTCGAGCACGAGGGCACCTTCTTCTTCATACAAGCAAACAATCAACAACTTGTTGCCCTCGCCTTTCTTAGGACATCTCGTACAGAATTCAAAGTCTTCTGTCTTTCTTATCTGGTACTTTCTGAAATATCTATATATAACCAGGAGAACCGTACTTCATTCGTTCATCAACGCTACGCTCTGATCACGGGGCGCGGACTACCTTGCGGGACCCCAGGCTGCCCGCGATCGCCAAATGACAATCAGTTGCCAATTTCGACACCCAGAAACTCCTCAACTGCTCGAGCAGTCTTCAAACGGTCAGGATGGCGAGCCATGATGGTGAAGGCTCGCCTCCTGACGCCATCAACGCAGATGAACATCATTCTATTCGACCCGACCAGCCTGAGCACAGCGAGTCAGAGTCAGAGTCAGGAAGCTCCTATGCCGGAACTGCCTCAGCAGGCCCAAGCACTCCGGCCTGCCCATATCGTGACTCGCGATTCCACGACCAGGAATGCTCCCGCTTCTTCGACTGTCCGACCCACCTGGTAGACCGAGTCCTGTCCGACGACGAGGACGACGAGGACGACGAACACGAGAGTCATGAGCAGCAGCCAATAGCCACCGACTCCCATCATGTACCAGGTGCTGATAATTTTCCTTTGCAACCGCCAGAACCTGCCGACAACATGTCTGTCTCGGCACCTATCGATGCCGCCATGATCAACCAAACGACTCTTGAAACACAAGACGCGGGTCACTCTGACCTGCCTGCCGAAGAAACGAATACCGTTCAAGAGACTGCGGGAGGAGCTGGTACACAAGTAGAGGCTGGCTTGGAAACCACTGCTCCAGACAATACTACGACTGTGACTGGCTCATTAGAGCCCGTTTTAGACACCGATGCGACGACACAAAGAGGTGTAGAAGATCTTGCCCAGGACGATTCCGCGCTGGTGGAAAGTATACGAAACCCCCTGCGGCGGCTGTCTGTTCTGGAAAATCAAACCGCGTCGACGTTTGGAGAATTTCCTCGAGCTTCACAGCACCAGCAATTACCACCATTGCCATTTGGATCAGAACCACGCCAATTACCGTCACAGTCGCGTACAGCAGATGTCGTAGTGCCCCGATGGCAGCCCGATTCCGAGGTCACAAGCTGCCCGATATGCCATCGCGACTTCAGTATCTTCAATAGAAAGCATCATTGTAGGAAATGCGGCCGCGTTGTATGCAGCAGTTGCTCCCCTCACCGAATCACCATACCAAAAGAGTTCATTGTGCGGCCCCCTTGGGAACACCCCAGTCTGTATCCGATGGCTGGAGAGTATGGGGCGGAGCGCCCACTTGTCGACTTCAATACATATATTGGAGGAGGCGAGAGGGTTCGCCTTTGCAACCCATGCGTGCCAGATCCAAACGTTACGCCTCCACAACCTGCACAGCATTTACCTTCAAGACTGTCGAATCCGCTCTATTCGCCAGGGGCATCAAGACACCAGAGATCTCGTAGCAATGTAGCTACATCTCCTTTTATCAATCCGAGCGCGCAGCAATATCCACCTGGCAACTTGCCCCAATTGGGCTCACTCCTTGGGACTAATCGGAGTCGAAGTGCCACAGTTGTAAGTCGTAAATCTACCGCCAGATGACAATGATAGGCTAATGTAGAAGTAGAACCATGTACCACTCCGAAGATCCCAGATACATCCGCCACCTGGATGGGAGCACCTTCGGACCGCCCCTGGCGGAAGAGATCCATTCCCACATGAGCAAGATGATGAATTTGGATTCACTCGTGCTCCCTCGCACTTGGAACAGCTTCTCTTTCGTGCATCGTTGCAGCAGCAACATCATGCTCGTACACCACCGCAACAACGTGCTCGTTCGCCGTCCATTGCAGAGGAAGATCGGTGCCCAATCTGCCATCACGAGCTTCCCTCGTCCGGACTGCAAGACTCTGAAAGGCTGCGCGAAGAGCACGTTGCTTCATGTATCCAGGAGCATAGCGGTTCTAGGCGGGAGCCAGCTTCCAATAGCCCATTTCCTACATTGGGCACACCTCCGCGTCCACGACGTGCTACTGGCCTGGTTTCTTATATCGCAGACGAAAAGGAACGTGCCAGAAATGAGGAGTGCGGTATTTGCTTTGAAGAGTACGAACCAGGAGTCAGAATGGCAAGATTGGAATGCTGGTGCCGATTTCATTATGACTGCATCATAGAATGGTTCTCGCGGCGTGGTAATGCTCGTTGCCCTATCCATCAGCATGACAGCTACGAGAGCTAGAGGGTTTTCAAGCACTGAGGTACCTGATGCGCAACAATCGCCTAGTTCTTGCTTGTCGAGTATGCCGCGATGCCTATTCTTTTCATATTTCCGGCCTTTGCTATCAGATCATCCTTCCCTTGGTCCCATAGTTCTACGGTTTTGGTTTTTCACTTTTTATCTGCCATTATGGTTTTTGAAGGAGTTTGGGGGACTTGAGAGGAACCATGGGCATAAAGCATCGTGGCTAGGAGTTATCATTGGTTCATTCTGGAGAGTCAAAGGCCCAGCGTTGATTCATTTACAAGCGCATCTCTAGATATTATCATGTATACCCATGCTGAGATACACAGCGCTTTTAGACCGAACTCATTAAACACATTCATTTCCAAATAACCTTTTGTTGTTTTCCCGATGGAAACTTTCATTTAAATCGTTATTGTGAAAAGAAAATAGTGATATTCCAGATACGACAGCGGTCAGCCATGTTGCTGTTTCGATGTTTCTACTGTGGGCTTCTTTTTGCATGTCAATCCTATCATGATTTCATTTTAAAGTATCCTTATCTGATGGTCGGAACCCAGGTCAACCTTTGCTCTTGGCTTTCCGCTTGCCCTTTTTCTTGTGCTTTTCTTGTTTTGAACTTGACTCTTGCGTCTTTACTGGGTCTTCCTCTTTAGTCTTTCCGATGTTTTCCCATCGAAATTTGTCCGGGCGAAATCTGTACCCTCGATTCCAATTCCATGGCCCTTCTTTCCAGCCTGGAGGATGTTGATGAGAACGCAGCTTTGCCTGGTACTTTTCGTTTGGCGTAGCACGATCCCAAATGTATTCACTTGGGGTGTGGACATTGTTGTAATCTTCTATCATTTCATCCACGGCGGATGCATCCCAATATCCCAACGAATCAAAAGGACATTTCCGGGCTTCAATTTGCTTCGTTGACAGGCATGGGTGTGGAGCTGTAAAGGCTGAGCTGAACTCGAGGAATTGACCGTTGAGAACATTCGAATTGTTGACATCGTTACACAATATTCCTGCTCGGTGAAGAATCTTCATGTTTTCGATCAGCTTCCTGGCTGTTGCAGCTGAGTCGATTGCCAGCCTGATTCTCCTACGGTTGAACCCCTCCTCAAAATCGTCATTTCTGACGGGTTGCCATTCGATGAACTTTTTCACCAAAGCTTGTAGTGGTTGGCCTCGGTCCTTTTTCGAATGGCCCCAATCTTCCTTCCAGTTGAGTTTGTCTTTCTTCCGAAGTGCCTTTTGATGTTCTTCTCCCAAAATCAGATAACCGTAACATGGAACGGCTATGAATTCTTTCTTGACCTCTTTAAGTCGGGCATAGGCACGGCATTCGCAATTGAAGGCAAATTGCCACAGTCGCTGATCCTCCTTGGGTAGGACAACCTCCCACCAGCGCGTAGGGGTGAATCGGTCGTCGAATCGAAACTGCGTTTGTGTAAGTCATTGAAAACTGCCATGGGCATTTCTTGGGATATATTAGCCAGCGCACCATTTTCAAAGCATATATATCGCCATTAATCGACACTTTCCAGACATGCCCGTGCTCGCCACTACCAAGTAGTTTGATAAATTCAAGTTCGAAGGGCGTGCCATTTGGAATAAATGGCATCAACTTGGGCCCCGGGACATCTGGCAATCCTGCCATCTCACTGGCACAAAATGGTTCAGCACAAACACAAACTTGGGACGAGGCGAAGATTTCTCAGCATTGATATATGTATGTCTTTATTTTCTCACTTGGTACAGCCTATGATTATTTAATAGTCCTGCTAGTTTCTTTGTTCTCGCTGCGCCGTCGTGTCAAAAGGCACGCCGGATGCATCCATGTCTCACTTGATCTTGGGCCAATCAGCCAGCGAACGGAGTTGGGAGCGCTCCTGGATAGCGTGCCCTTCGGGAAAGAGAGACATGACCATGAGGACATAAATCGCCTTGATCCCCGATATTACGTTCTCCTCTGTGGACGCTACAAGCTTTGGACACCAAGGAAACGTGCGTTGCTGCACACCCACCCGAGAAGTACCGTCCACGATAAAGAAGCGGAATACGGTGACTCCAATATGGGTCATGGTGAAAGCGAGACATGTGCCCGCGCCCTTTGTATACATTGCCAGCTTGCCGATATGATTACGGCCAAAGCTTTTATAGTGCGCTGCTTTCGCGAAACAACGTGTGGGATCCAGCGATTTTATCCTTGCAGAATCGCCAATGACATGTATTATGTCCTTTCTCGGCGTCAATCGAGGCATAGACTTTGCAGGGAGATAGATTGGGAAATTTGGCTTCTTGAGATGGTGTGTAGCATTGGTCATCGCATACTGAGGAAGCGTAACCTTGGATGCGTCCTTTTTGTAAGGGACTCTCAATTTGAGCGAAACTGGATTCTGAGTACCTTCGTACAGCTTTCCCGCGCTGTGACCAAGCGCGTGGCTTAATATGGGACCGATGACATTGAGAAAGTACTTATCGACATCCTTTTCCTCGCGTATACGGGCAGTATGATCCATGTAGTCAAAGGGGAGCTCGAGGTTTTCATTAAAGGGAACCGCATGGTCAATGGCGCTGAGAAATGCGGTATTGACATTGCCTTCGTTGAAGTCCTGCCACTCCTCAATGTCCTCAAAGTTCACCTCGATGAAATCGTTATGCCATTGCGTTCCAGCTCCAGTACTCTCTTGGACCAAGAAGTCTGGTCGGGTAAGTGCGAAGAGGTATCGCAACGTCATGGGACGATTCTCTTTCTTGGAGAAAATTTCCCACTCCTCAGTTGTGTCATATTCGGCAGAGGTATCAGCCATTTTCTCCAAAAGTTTGCTGGTCCTTTTGACTCGTTCTATACTTGAAGCGTTCGGTAGGACTTCGTATACTTGTAATCGTTTTACTTTATCTGATGGTTTAATCGTCCAAACAGCATTGCCCTGAGACACAATCCACGCTCATCTTATAGGGAAATCTCGGTCACGGCCTACAAAGATGCATTGTTGCTCATGACATATACATGGAGCATTCAGAACCTCACTGGCTCTTTGTCTCTTCCCAAGCATAACTCGAGCACAAAGACCTCTAGACAAGTGCTCAATGACAAGCTAATAAATTAACAATGTCACTTACCGATTATTGTGTCTTTGTAAAAGAAGAAGTCGACGTCATGGGTAATGTCAATTGCACGCATAGCGATATATGGGTAGGGAAGGTAGGCAATATTAAGTGTGTGGTCATAAAGTAAACTCATTAATGCGTAAATGTTTTATTTTAAATAATCGTACAAATAGCTTTCAGCCAACTTTGCAGTGCTGTTTTCCGATACTACCATATGGGGGACTTATCAGAGTAGACCAGCAAAGTCCTTAGCGGAGATGATACACGAGATCTCACGAATACCCATACTGAACTGTTTGTCTGAGCAGCTAAGCATCTGATGTTCCTACTTATTGCGTTTAAATACAAGGAAATGCAAAGGGCGCAAATAAGCGGCCACACTGCAACAGTTCTATCTAAATAGCTGCCTCAAGGCTCCAACACACCCTTCTTCAGTGTTTGAGACGGTTTCTGAGCCTTCATTTGCACAATGGTGGCCCTCTTCTGTCTGAAATGGACGGATCCGTACCTAAGCAACTCTGCAAACGTACCAGGCTCTCTGTCTTTGCCGATGTTTCCCTCCTCGTCCAGCAATCTTCCCAGAGACTTGCCTCTGACCAAACCCTTTCCATGCGTGATTTTCTCCATCGACGCCTGGCAAAGGAGCCTCCACACCAACTTCTCGGCTTTCTTTTGCTGCTCCGAGGTGTCATTGGGATCTCGCTTCAGGGTCAAGAGGTCATACAGCTCCTGTCCATCAAAGCCAATCTCATCCTCGGCGGCCCAATCCTCCTTGAGGACGTCAAAGCAAAATACATTGGTGCTCCAGTAGTCAGTGCAAGAGAAACCGTCCCCGGCGTCCTCGAGCATGCAGAGGCGCTGCCAGGCGACGACTTGGGTAATGTACTCCATGACCGTCTTGGGAGACACGACCATGTCCCAGTTGAAGTTGCTGGCACGAGACTCGTCAAAGCTATGCTGAGCGCCAAACGACACGAGGGGATTCTCAATCAGACCCTCGTGGTTCTTGTGACCTTTCCAGATGTGGGTGAATAGTTCGTGCCTATAACATTGAATCTCGGGTCAGTATCCTGCTGTCAAACACAAGACCTTTTGAAGCTTACCAGCGCTTGATGAATGGGTCGCCTTTTCGTGCGGCAACAAAGTGATTTGCAATGGTATGGCCGTACATGAGAGGCACTGCAATCTGATAAGGCGAGTTTGGATCCTCGAGCGTATCCCACACGATCCGGTCCATGTCTCGCAGTAGAATGCAGCCCACGTCAAGAAAGACGCCTCCGTATTGCAGCAGACAGGCACCGCGCAGAAAGTCGGCACTGTGGGGGCCAACATAGGGGCCGTCCATCTCCTTGTTGACAAAGGCCTCGGGCAGGAGGTCGGCCGAGAGGTGCTTGAGTGCATAGTTGGGCGAGTCGGCCACATTGTCCAGTATGCGGACAGTCCAGCTGGGGTCGCAGATGCGTATCCAGTCGACGACGTTGCGCTGGCACCACGCTGGCATGTTGGTGACTCCAGAGTGCCAAAAGGCCCAAATGTTCTTTTCCGATGTCACGGGGACATACTGGGTAAGGGTTTGGAGTATTTCTTCATCGCTTCTCTGGTCTCTGACAGTCACGAGTTCTAGTTGGTCCTGGTACTGGACCGGAATGCTCAGGCCAGCCATCATAAAGTGACTTTGAAATATTCAAAAGGTGAACGAATGTAGATAAAATCCAGGTATGTATTCAAGAAGATGGGCAATTTTTGACGAGCCAGAAAGATGAGGGCTTCAGGCAGATTAATACACGGATGCAACAGGACAGCAGATCGATCCTGTCTTTGTATTTTTGTGTTGGCTTGAATTTGCGCAAGGTTTCAATCCTTCCTGGAACCGAGCACCTAGGTTCGGATGGGCCAACATAAACGACGGTCATCGTAACGGCTGGCTTCCATAACGGCTGTCATCATTAAGGTCTTATAGCAGCCCAGGATCGGGTCTCCACTGATAGCACGTTTTGAGAAAAAGAAGTGCAACCGACTTTGACGCCGGTAAATCTTGCCTACATAGTGCAATAACCTGCTGCAAAAGATGGCCTAGCTCTGTCTTGACGAACATAATCCCAAACTATAATCTGACAGTATTGATGTGATTTGTCAGACGGTTATTCTTTTGAGCCAATGTCAGCCTCGAGGACATGATATATCTCTGGGGCCCCTGGGCTTATCTCTCTCTATGCTAACCCGCCGCTGCAATCCACAAACTCGCCATTTTCTGATCCGAGAAGTCGATCTTGAACGATAAAGATGTGCGGACTTTGTGATTCGAAATTTGATTTGCGCAACCATTTTGCAGAGTACGTCAGCATATTACGGGTATCCCTAACCTCCCGTTCTATGTTATTGCTCCAGAGCATCCCCAGGCTCGTCGAGGTCGCAGCTAGGACACGATTGTATTGTGTTAGTATATTTCTGATGATAAAGGTCTTTTGAGTTTGATGACTATGGGAGCTGCAGGGAAAGAAAAAGAATTTGATTGATTGCAATCAATTGTATATAAAACATTGGCTGTCTGTATTCTTATCACTTCAAGGTTACACACAAGTGCTGCGCCGAGATGCCGAATTTCAGGCAGCTCCCCCACTCCTGATGTCGCCCGACCCTGTCGACAACCTCGCGATTTTTCTACATCTCCGACCCAAGCCACAATCAAAACCTTTAAAACCTTGACTTGAGATGCGACATCAATGCCAGCGCCTTGACCATCTTCCTTGCCGTCGGCGACTCAACTTCTCGACCCATTTTTCGACATCAGGGACTATCGTGATCAACATCAGCTAGGCTACGACCCAACGCATTCCCATTCATCTTGGCCAAGCGTCCAATTGAGCCAAGTTTTCGCACCGCCATTATGGCGTTGTGCGATCATTGTCAAAGCATAAAGCTTGCAGAAGTTCTCAAGGGGATGCAGAAACTCGATAGGCGCAACTTAACGAGACAGAACAGAAAAGTCTCATCCGGATTTTCTGAGTATATCTCAGATGTCGGCAAGAGCATACTTGCAATATATCAATGGAAATTGTGGTCGATTTCTGGCTCAAAGTCAGTAAAACGTGCCGCAACATCGTGGGCCGGAGTCGTTTTGGCGGATCTGGCCCCGCAGTTAAGACAACTTCCATCGAAGAACTGCGCATTTTGTACTATACTTTTCAGCATTCCCATCAAACCATACAAGAATACCACAGAGTCTGATACATGCACACTGATTGCATTCAGCTATTTCGATCATCCCTACATGCAAAGATGGGATCATGGTGTGAGTTCTTCAGACGTTATGATTTTGGGCGTGGTGCCCGAAACTCGCTGGCACGAGTCATACTATTGGGGGTCATTTCAACATTTCATGCAGCGAAATCTAAGGGGCTTTTTAACATGTCGACTCGATGAGCGTGAGTCCGAAGGATCGCGTTTCATACGGGCATTACAACCAACCATCAATTGTGATGAGATATCACGGGCGATACGAGATTGCCAACAAAACCATCACGAATGCCGAGAGGAGAAGGCTGCGTCTCCACAACCAATCGACATACATCTGATTGATTGCTATAACCAGGAATTGATCCAGACAACGAGTTCGGAAACATACGTCGCCCTCAGTTATGTCTGGGGTGGGGTGCCCGCTGGTACACTTGAAAGTACAAAACTACCTCGTACACTCGAAGATGCTATTCAAGTAACTAGATCCTTGGGGTTCCGATATCTTTGGATAGATCAGTTCTGCGTAGATCAACGAAATCACGACATCAAACAAGAACAGATACGCACTATGGGCAAGGTGTACGAGGACGCCGCCGTAACTCTGGTTGCCGCCAGTGGTTCAGATGCCAATCACGGTCTGCCAGGAGCACCGGGTCACCCAAATCCAAGTAAAGTCCATCCTCCAATTACGGTCGATGGCTGCATCGTAACTGAGGAAGCGGTACCGATTGATTGGGAAATCCAGAATTCCAGGTGGGCTAATCGGGGTTGGACTTTCCAAGAACAGTTTTTCTCGCGGCGATTCCTCATCTTTAGCCCATCGCAGGTTTCCTTCGAGTGTCGATGTATCTCCTTCTCGCCAAGATTTGGATTTCGAGGCAATGAGCGTAAGACATCTTTGAAGACCCTTCGTCCGGCAATGAAGAGCCTGTTCAGCAGTCTACATGGACGCAACGAGGTTTACGGGGCAGATAGTCTACGCAGGTATCGGGCCCTTGTCGCCGAGTACTGGCCACGATTACTCTCAATGGAGGAGGATGGAATCAATGCATTCGCCGCGATCCTGGTGCATCTCAAAGACCAGTGGAATGCTGAGCTTCATGAACCCACAATGACTTTTACGGCAGGAATGCCCCATCTGATACGGCAACATGCAGAATCGCCCGAGCCAAGCCTGAAACTGTTTGTCAATGGGCTAACCTGGTATTCCAAACACCCCTCGAGACGACGCGAAGGCTTTCCATCATGGTGCTGGGCAGGTTGGACTTCGCCTGGGATGCAGGCGCGACTCAGGTGGTCGTCTGATGATATGTCGCCAGATGATATGTCGCCACTACTACTGGTTCGAAATATCTTTTTCAGAAGCAGCCCTGATATTGACACTTCTGGCGTCCAATGGCATCAAACAACCACACCTGAACGTGTTCCAATCGCAGAACACGACTTTCCCAATGTGCCTGAAGCTGTTATATTTGATGCACCAGTTGTCTATCCCGGCGCTGTTTCATGGCCGGAATGGCGAGAGCTCCCTTCGCTCTGGGGGCTCCACCGGGTATTTTGGTGTCTTGCTGACACAAGCCTTCTAATACGTGATGAGTTCATGAATCATATTGTGAATGGGGAATACTGCTTGCTTGCGCTAATACATGAAGAAGAAAAAAGAATGGATGGTGCTTCTAGCTCAGCTACGTTTTTGATTGTTCGCCAGGTTGATCAGTATCGGCATGAACGAATTGGTCTTGCGCAACTTTGGGGCATGGATGCGAATGAGCAATTGAACAGAGACTCGGAGATCAAGACGTGGGAGCTTATTTAATTGTTTGATGATCAGTAGTGTAGAACGCATGGCTACGAGCAACCAAATTCCATCTTCATCGATTCCAAAATGAGACTGCAGTATCTTTTTCGGCACTGAGACCAACCCCACATGATTGAAGGCTGAATTGGTCAGTGGGCCCCGTACTGGACCCGGCCACCTGGGCACTAGGTAAAAGGTTATGTACCTCGATCGGCTGACGCATTTTCAAATACGCCGACTAACGAGCAGCAGCTAATTATTTCCAATCCCTACACCTTCAGCGCTGCGAACAACGACTCGCGAAGTCGGACGGCTCATTGATCCCACCACACCACAGATCCGCACATAATGGGTCCCTTGAGTCTAAACAGCCTCTTTTCGAGGCTGCGCGTATCGCCAGTTCCCCAGGCGATTGTTTCCTCGCCCGCCGCGACAGCAACCTCTCTGCTCAACAACAGCAGCAGGACGACAGCCGCCGCCGCCGCCGTGCGCCCCTTCACATCAACACCATGCGCCGCCGCAAAGGCAGCCAGCGGCAAGGGTGCCAAAGGCAGCAGCAAACCGGCCAAGAGGAAGAAGAAGGACAAGGGCGCGGCCCCGGACCCGCGGATACGCAACCTCAAGCTCAGCATGCCGCGCAAGGTGCCCGCGCCGCTGCGTTTCGCCCGTAACAGACACTTGCGGCACTGGACCATTCACCGCGCGTGGTTGCTGTGGCAGAGAAAGGAGAGGGAGAGAGAGGAGAAGGAATTGATGAGGTTGGTTCTTTTCCACCCCCATCCCCGAGAAGATGCGCAGGCTTTCGAGGCAAA